AGGTCTTTTCTCCCATTGTCTTGCCTGTTAGCAAAATGGCTTCTTCTCACCTGCACGATCTCTTTAGTGGGAGGTTTCTCTGCTGCATGCTCACATTCCAAAGCCCAGGCTGTGAGATTTTCAAATTGCCCTGCTGTGCCTCCTTTTGCTGCGGGTTCTCACCGTGAAACTCAGTAACAGCAGCCTATAACGCTCATGCTGCAGCTGGAAAGCTCTGCTGCCTTAAAATCTCCACCCGCATGTTAGTCCACCATCTTAAGGTTCAGCCTCCTGCAGCGTAGCAGGACATGGACACAAGAAAGTGAGGTTCTTTGCCATGATGTAAAAGGGATAGCCCTTAGTCCATTTTCCAAACAGAATTCTCATTTCCATTGGAAACATTGTCTCTGTGGTCTTTACTACATTTATATTAGCCCCTGGGCTTCTAAGCCCTATCAGAATCACTCATAAGTCTCTCCTTACAGCTTTCTATAGCCTGCTTCTTCAAACTCTTCCAGCCTTTCCCAGTAAACCGATTCCAGACTCTCCCACATGTTCAGGTATTGTTAATAGTAACCGCCCTGCTCCTTGGTACTCATTTTCTATACTAGACAGCTTTCCCTTATTATAGTGAAATACCTAGGACAAGCTACCTAGCAAGGAAAGATTTTGGCTCATGATTTTGGAGGTTCACAGTTCAAAATTGACCAGGCACCATTGGTTTGGCCAACTGTTGAGGCTGGAAGATGGTAATAGTGGAATGTGTGTGCACAGTCATGTGGCAAACCAGGAAGCAAAGAGTGTGGCTAGACCTAACTCAACATTTTTAACCAACCGTCTCTCAAGAATGTCTTCTGAGGGCACACTTGCAATGGCCTGAGGACCTGTGCTAGGCCCAACTCCTAAACACCATAATTGTACTAAGTTTCCATCTTCAAAGTATCATTAACATGAGACTTCGGGGGTTAAACTTGAAATATCTACCTGAGTTTTTTTGGGAGCTGTATCATATTTAAACCGTGGCAGGAATCATGGATTAAAAAGAATTGAAGTGACTTTGCCAAGGTTACACAGCAAATCAGTCAGGCCAGAGGCATGTTTGTGACCGTTGTTTGACCTTTTAAGGACAAGGGAGCATTCCCACCAAGCATCAACAGCAGGAGTACAAGGAAGGGTTTGGAGCCCTTTGCTTAGTTGCTAGTTTGCTAGATTTCTGGGGCTCTAAGAGCTGGGAAGTGCTGACGTGGTAGCATTTAGACTCAGAATGGCTTCTGGCGTGATTCTCACCACAGCTCTTTGTCCTGTTCTGCAGCTGTTTTTTGAGGACAGTATTGATGATGCCAAGTACTGTGGGCGGCTCTATGGCCTAGGCACGGGTGTGGCCCAGAAGCAGAATGAGGATGTGGACTCTGCCCAGGAGAAGATGAGCATCTTGGCGATTATCAACAACATGCAGCAGTGATGGCGGCTGGCTCTGCACGGCGGGCCTGGTCCCAGCGTGGTGCTTTCTGAGCTGACTCTGCTTCTTCCCCAAGAGAAAACATTTCTTTTGAGCAAACTGTACCTACCATCTGCATTGGGCAGAAAGACTTTTGTTTTACTGAAGACAAAAGATGTCTTTATTTTAGATCCAGAAGAGGGGAGTTTGCTCCGAATTTGTAAACAAGTCTTCCCGTATTCCTCATCCCCACGCCTCTCTCCAGTTGCCTCCTGCCACCAGCATCCTCGGCTCTTTTGACACCTTTTTAAATACCCAGGACAGTTCTGAAACGACTAGTAAAATGTATATAACTCTTACCTGTTGTCCTTCTTTTTCTTTTAAATTTGTTGCTAATCTCTGATGAGGATTTTTGCTAAGCTTCTCAGCTGAGCTGAGGGCTTCCAGGGGGAAATGGAACAAAATGGTGTTCTTGTGAAGTGGGCTATAACTATTTAGTCTTTGCTTTTTTGGCCCTTCTCAAGGACATTTGATTCCCTCACTCTTTGGTAGTCTTTCTTTATGTACTATTATATGAAATGAATTGCTCAGTGCTGAAATTTGAAGAGCTGATAACGAACCTTTTCTTAAAGTCAAACAGTTCTCCTGAGTCTGTCCACGCTTGATTCATGAGGTGCTTCTAGGATGGGTGTTCATGTGACCACTTCATTGTCTTTAAGTCTGTGTTCCATTGTGCCACTGACGTTTGCTGTTACATGTGCCTCATCTGAAATCATTTTTTTCACATAATTAGCTAGCCTGGGTTTTATCCTTAAAAAAATTGGTAAGATCAGATTTTGGATCATAATTGTGTTATTTTTCAGCAGTGTGATTTCAGATGCTCATATGTACTCTCCCACCTCTTGTCTCCATCTTCCCTGCTTCTCCTGAGAAGTTAGGGGAGATGGATTAATGTGAGTACCAGGAATGTGAGTCTTTAAAAAGTTATAGTGGTGATTTATAAACAGGACAATAAAGAGTTTGGTTTATAGAGTTACCCTGAAGTAATATCCCACAACTTAGGGTAGGAAGCTCAGGACTTTTTCCTTTAAGCTAGTCATTTAAAAAAGTATTCTGTATTTTTTTGAATGACTAGAGCCAGAACAATTTTAAAAAACCAAAAATCCTTTTGGAATGGTAGAAATAAAAACTGGTGACTCACTGAAGTGGATGAATAATCTTGCATTTTAAAAGCTTATGGAAAATTCAACTTGAAATGATTCCAAACTGTCAAGTATTATAAGCTGGTATTTAAGATGCTTGTAAATACTATTTATGTTTTTAATTTTGTAAAATAAAGATTTCTTTTTAACCACTGGCATGAAGGTTTGGTCTTTCGTAGCTTTGGACGCCTGGCTCTGGAAGATGGTATTTGTCATGTTGCCGGGGAGACTGTTGCCTCCACTGTCCACAGCTCGGTTGTGAACAAAACATCTCACTTGGTAGGAAGCGTTTAATGAGTACCTGTGTAAGTGGAGTTGTCACTTCATACCCCTGCTGGTTGTTGGGATTTACAAGGAAGCCACTTTAATTCTATTTCCACGTACAGGGTGAATTAGAGCGTTTAGTGGTATTCCTTAGACAAATAAGACTTCACTTAGGACTTTTTCACCATATTTCACTGGCACAAAAATGTGGGGTTGTAAGAAGGTATAAGAGCAGGTGTACAATTTTGACTTGGAAGTTCATTGTCCACAAGAGAGAAATTTAGGATGAAAGTAGCACGGTTGGTAGCTGTCAGCCAAGGTGCCCTGGCATGCTGGTGACTGTAAGCCCTATAGTTAATCCAAGTTTGGATTAAAATAGGAAATTTATCGTCTCTACCATTGAGGACAGATTTCAAGTCATGAGAAATGCTGAGATGAAGGGCTGAGGAAGTCAGTGTTGAGCAGGTGTCTGGTTATTGCATTGATAAGAGATAGCTTGTTCAAGTGGTGCTAAATACGGAGCAAAGTTTATCAGAGCTGGCAGGAACTTTGCTTTTTGTGTCTACGAGTGTGTGCAGAGTTGTGTGAATGGTTATTCTCAGAAAGTGATGATGCTGAAGGGTGATCAGTGGGAATAACCGGGTGTAATTCTGTGCTTGCAATATACTGCAGAATGTTCTTGAATTCCAGAGTTAGATGCCTAGTTGCCAGACAGTGCTGGTATGAATGAATGAACCCTTTAAGGCCAAACTATCAAATGCTCTTTCAACTTCCTAGTTTATTCAAATTTTCATTAAGCACCCACTAAGTTTAGACACTTGAATGGGTGTTAGGGATAAAACAGTACATAGAAGACATAATCTCTACCCTCACTGAAGTCTACAATCTGCCTATATTGTCAGACAGTAAATAATTCACACAAATACAATTTGTGGACTAGAAAGTGTAAGACACTGATGTCACGGAGGTTGAGGTCCAGCAATAGTGTTTTAGAGAAAGGACATTTAGGCTGAAGTCTTAAAAGTCAGTAGGAGTGAGCCCAAACAAATATGGGCAAACCCCTGAACTAGAGATCTTGGTAGCAGCTAAATGACCAGTGTGGCTGGAACATTGGAAGCCATGAATGAGTGTCTGGACAGGGGACAAGGAGGTAAAGGCTGGGATCAGACAGGACTTTGTAAACCACATTCAAAATTTTTATCTTTTAGCAGGGAGTTGATAGTCTGATTTGCAACTTATTCACTGTTGAGAAGAATGGATGGTTACTAAGAGTGGATTCAGGAACTATTTAATGGGAGGCCAGTACATTCATAGATAACGGAGAAGTGGTTTTGTAACTGGAGATAGGGGAAAGATACTATAAAATTACTTTGGATGGCGATAAAGTACACCCTACCCCCAGCAAAAAAAAAAAAAAAAAGAGGCTTAGTAATGCATCCCTTTGCACTCAGAATCTTCAAATCAACTCCTTGCCACTTTGATTCTTTGTGGTTCTCATAATTAGATAAATACAAATAAAAACTTTTTTCAAATTATAATAGCTCGAGTATATGGATGCAGTACTGGAAATGAGTTTAAGAGGAAACTGAGTTGTCTCTTATTTTTCTGCTGTTGGTTGCTTTTATTGCTTAGTTTGAACTAGTAAGTCTAGTTCTTACCAAAACACTGACTGTGGAATGTGTAGGGTTCCTCCATCCATAGGTGATGGTTTTGGTAAATCATGAGCGTTGTTTACTAAACAATGTAAAGAACCATGAGGATCTCATTTCACAATCTTTCCTTTTTTTTGGAAATACTGCTTACTGATAAATCCTCTGGACTTAGCATTTTCTAAACTCTTCAGCAACTGGCAGGTCCAAATGTCTTTAAAAACTGCTTCCTGCCTGGTAAGCTTTTTCTTTCCTGGAGAGGGTTACTCCGGATCAATTTCATGCTTTCTGCCCCACCCATGAGAACCTCAACCTTAGGAATTAATTGGAAAATAAACTAGTCAGGCTTTTGGAGTGAATCCCAAAAGAAAACAGTTCAATGATCAGGAAGGAGGGCTCCCTTTTCACCACCAGGCCGGACTTTGTGGTTGTCCTGTCTTTGCAAATAGGACATTACAGAAACCTGAGTTCCTAACACTGTTCAGCTGTTTTAATAACCAAAGGAGAGAACAAAGTTTTGTAATCCACTTACACAGAATTTTCTTCCTGAGCTATTTGATCACCATCAATCTTTTGTTATAAAACTCAAGGGATACAATACGTTTGAGTTAGTTATTTGTTCTAAAGTTTTGGTAAGTAATTTGTCTAAGTAAGACATTAAGTGAAACAAAACCAAATTTTCAACCTGTTGTTCAGACAGAAGGTAAAGAATCAACATGATGGGTAAGGCCTATTTCTCGTTTGAACTTCAGTATTTGAAACAGTAGAGGAGGAAGAAACTGAGTTAACAAAAATAATGAAAAAAAAAAAAAGTCATAAAATGTGGCAATCTGTCTCTAACAAGAATGACATGTTCATAATGCTGTGGAGTATTTATAAAGGTAGCTTGTATTTAAGAACATAACACTTCAGGTGGTTACAAAAGTTTCTTCTCTTTGGGTGAAACGGGCATAAGGCTTCAGGGATGACCACCAGTCACTCTGCAGGTGCATGTTTGGAACAACTCCCTGCTGACTTCCCGATCTTTCTTGTAGGAAACCACAGTTGAGGCCAAAGTCAGATTCTGCTGTCTAAGAGTAGGTAGAGTCCATTCAAACTTCATTCTCACGTGTATTAGATCAGAGTCTGTTGAGGTGTAACTGCAGAGTTGAAAGGTGTCAGTCATTTTAAAATTGGCATGATTCTTCCAAGTCCTTGAGAGTTCATGTGCAGAAGGCCTGGCAGTATCGTTTGTAAGCTTTAGTGTTGCCGTATTTCTTAAGGAGCTCTCGGGCCTGTTGCTGTACTTCCTGGGTCACATGGCCAGGACACTGGGACCCAATGTGAAGCAGGACGAGGCAGCACTCCAGCACATCTGGGAAGGGCCAGGTCTGGGAGAGAGAATGTGAAGGTGAACAAGGAAGCACTTGGGAAAGAGCCAAAGACAGCTGCGCAGAGGGCACTATCACCTAGATTCATCTGATGATAAGAGGGTATTTTAAAAAGTTCATGGAAAAATTGAATTAAAAGGTTAGTTTATTTTGGTGCAAAAATTTTTTAAAACTCCACCTAGTTTTTTCACAATGTGCATTTTCCATGAAGGTTTTGAAGACGCCTCGTACTTCTCAGGAATGGCTGAACCATTTCTGTCATAATAAGGCAGTGTCATTTTTTGCTTTTTGTCAGTTATTCTAAGGACAATTGATAACCCAAAACTGGGATGGCTGGTGGGAATCCATTCTCAAATGACGCAGTCTTTTTCTAGAGCTCTACTTAAATCAGTTTAAAAAATGTTGCTTCTACTACTGGCCCTGCCAAATATACCTATCCACCTGTAAGCTACTAAATACCTGGTACCAATTACAATTTTTTTTTTTTTTTTTTTTTTTTTTTTTGACAGGCAGAGTGGACAGTGAGAGAGAGAGAGAGAGAGAGAGAAAGGTCTTCCTTTTGCCGCTGGTTCACCCTCCAATGGCCGCCGCTGCAGCCGGCGCACCGCGCTGATCCTGGCAGGAGCCAGGAGCCAGGTGCTTTTCCTGGTCTCCCATGGGGTGCAGGGCCCAAGCACCTGGGCCATCCTCCACTGCACTCCCTGGCCATAGCAGAGAGCTGGCCTGAAGAGGGGCAACCGGGACAGAATCCGGCGCCCCAACCGGGACTAGAACCCGGTGGTGCCGGCGCCGCAGTGAGATTAGCCTATGAGCACGCGCCGGCCCATACATTACTCTACTCCACATAATATGTGGCGTAAAAGTGCTTATATGGTCTGTATTTCTACTCTTACAAGTAAAACATTTTAGTGAATCAAAGGTAAATGGACCCTACATTTTTGAGCATCTGCAATTAGGTAGATTGCAGAAACTGAAAAGTAGATGACCTTTAAGCATTTGACATAGTTAAATGATAACACAAAAAATAATGTATGACCACATGAACCATTGTTAATCTTACCTTAATACTCTCAGGAAACTTAGCTATTCTTGCATTTGCCTCTGTAAGCCTTTTGGTCAATTCAGGCAGAGAAACTGGCTCATTTTTTTCTTCTTTACTATTAATCATAATAAAAAGTGCAAGTTAAACATTTTACCTCAGGTAGCTCCCAACACCACCCTCCCCCACATTTTTACTGTGGTAAATCACACAATAAAGAATTTACCATCTTAACCCACTTCCAAGTACACAGCTCATGGGTATGTATTCACATTTTCTGTGAGCATCACCACCATTCAGCTCCCTCTTGTCATCTTGTGACACTGAAATGCTGTGTCTAGGCTCTGTGCTGGGAGACCTAAGGTCAAAGGCTGCAGCTTGATTACCCAGCAGCAGCTGCTACTCCCTGCAGATGCCCCAGCTTCACGCCCTGTGAAACACATGTCCAGCTCTGTGGTCACTAGGCTGGAAGTGACAGCATTCTGGTCATCCGGGATTGTCTCAGTTTAATATGCAGTTCTATACACTACCTTTTTTGTGTTTTTTTTTTTTTTTGGGGGGGGTGCTAATACAGAATAATTGAAAAACCGTTTGTCACGAATGATGCGGTAATGCAGTTCTACATTTTACATGATTTAGCATCATTTCTTCTTAGGGGAGGGATCTACTTAGCGCACAATGGTAGGATCTTACAGTGCTATCATTGTTAGCAACAAGTGGGTACCCTTCTGAAGCGCAGACATTAAAAACCTGCCTGAGGTCACTCAGCAGGGCCAGGATTAGAACCCAAATCTGACTGTGACTTAAATACATTAGGTTGCTTCCAAGTAACCGGATCCATCTGGTTTTGACCGAAAGACATGAGAATCCAGCAGGGTGTTTTTCTCTGTTACACTTGCCTCAGTACTTACCACTGGCTCTGAGGACTGGAGAGGGACGGTTCTGCTTCCTGTTCAGGTTCGTCCTTGTCAGGACCGTTCGCGGTGGATTTGCAGAGTTGACTCTTCTGGTGTTGGCGGATCATTTCTGCCAGAGTCTCTTGGACTTCAGCAACAGTCCTCTGCGAGTTTTGGAGACTAGCATGCTTCTCTGAAAAGAGCTCCTTGCAAGCACTCAGCACTTGCTCACTTTCTTCTGAGAGTTTCAAGTCTAGCTGTGGCGGCTCTAGCTGCAGCGGCCTGCTTGGCTCTGCCTGAGAGGCAGCTTCTGGGTCTGTTTCCTCAGCACTGGCGTTCTCCACCTCTTGGCTTTGCTCAACAGAGGGCGTCCTTCTGTGACAGGCCCTTACCCAGATACTGGAGTGAGGGCAAGGCCTGGAGAGAGCCCACCAGATGTCATATAGACACCCATAAAGAAAGAAGGCCTCCAAACTTTTGAAAGCTGCTGTGGTGGGGGAGTGAAGGTCACCCAGTTTGTCTCGTAGGTAGTCACAGCCTAGAAGAAAAGGATTTTGGGTTGTACATGTTACTATTCGCTAGAAATCTGTCTTCCTATCTGTGCGCTATCACCCAAGAGGCCAACCCAAAGGAAAAAGAAAATAGTGTGATCCAGGGACCATGCACATTCCACCAAAAGCCAGTTGGAGCTAAACATTTCCTGGGTGGGGACAAGGTTCTTACTGCTACAGGCTAGGTAGGGTTCAGGAAAAGTCCTACTGGAAGCTCTGGGGCCACACTATCAGTGTGTGTCTCTGAAAAATCCCAATGATTTAGTTCGGCAACTAATTATGCAGCTAAAGGAATATCTATCTTTGTGCTGTGCTTTTCTATTTTTACTAACTGACCACAGTACTATTTCTCTTTCTTAAACTGACCATGGAAAGTGGATAGGAGGCAGTGAGGTGGACAGGTAGGGCCAAGTAAAGGAAAACAGTGTAGTCATTCTGGTTACCTCCTAGGAGCCTGGGTACGAGAAACCAAACTTTCTACTACAGTGACACATCTGGCCAATCTTCATATTTTTTTTTCTTTAAAGATTTATTTTTATTTATTTGAAAAGACAGAGTTACAGAAAGCGGCATAGACAGAGAGAGAAAGAGATAAGTCTTCCATCTGTTGGTTCACTCTAAATGGCTGCGGCTGCTGGAGCTGAGCCAATTGGAAGCCAGGAGCCAGGAGCCAGGAGCCAGGAACTTTTTCCGGGTTTCCCACAGGGGTACAGGGGCCCAAGGACTTGGGCCAATCTCCACTGCTTTCCCAAGGCTACAGCTGAGAGCTGGATTGGAAGAAGAGCAGTAGGGGCTAGAACCGGCGCCCATATGGGATGCCAGGGCTTCAGGCTGGGCTTTAACCCACTGTGCCACAGCACTGGCCCCTCTCTGTCTTTTTATAACCTAGGTAATTGCGGTGCTGTATCATTAGTGGGTATGTTTCAGGCAGGGGTGGGGGCCACTTACCATCAGGGAGAAAGATGGAGTACACTTCCTGCATGATGGTGAAGTTCCCTGAGTCGTAGCTCCGGGATACAGCCCGAAGCAGTGCTTGCACAGCCTCATCCCATGAAGCCACCTGTTGGCTCAGCACTGCCAAGGTCAAGTCATGGCAAATGTGAAGCAGGAGCTGGAGAGGGGAGCCAGAGTCTTGGTTAGACGGCCTCCTGGGGTAGGCACTGAGGGGGATTCTAGAACTGTTTGTTTACTGCACATGGAAACAAGTACACACCACACATTTATAAAAGTTTCTCCTATCTCCACCATCCAGTGTTGCTTCTGCATCAGCAACTCTGATACCTACTTGAATAGCAACACATGCGAGCTGGTGTTAAAGTCTGTTCGTGCTGAGAAAATGCTCTGACATTTGCATTTAATTAAAACAATAAACTGTAATTAACAAAGCAAAACTTGGAGTAGAATTAAGATAGAATGTATCAATTTAGGTCTGCAGTTTGAGGAGTTTTGACAAACCACCAAAATCAAGATAGAACATTGTCATCAACTAAAAATATTCCCACATGTGCTTTTGTAGGCAGTCCCCTCGCCCTACCCTCCCGGCAACCACTGATCTGTTCTTTGCCAGCTGCCCTTCTGTTAAACAATATAGTCCTTCATTTTGTGGTACAATACAACTTGCATATCTGTTCATCAGTTGGTGGACATTTAGGTTGTTTCTAGTTTTTGGTTATTGTGGACTCAGGTGCGTTTGTCTATAAGTCTTTGTGTGGACATCTGATTTCATTTATTTTAGTCAAGTATCTAGGCAGTGGAACTGTTGGAGCGTGGGACATGGGTATGTTTATAAGAAATTGCCAGACTATTTTTCAAAATGTTCTCTCATTTGAAAAATATCAAGTAAATAGGGAATGGTGTTGTGGCACTGTGGGTAAAGCCACTGCTTGCAAAGCCAGCATCCCATACAGGCATGCCAGTTTGAGTCCTGGCTGCTCCGCTTTTGAGCCAGCTTTCTACCAATCCACTTGGGAGGGCAGCAGAAGATGGCCAAAATACTTGGGCCCCTGTCACTCACATGGGAAACCTGGATGGAGTTCCTGGTAACTGGCTTTGGCTTGGCCCAGCCCCAGCCACTGCAGTCATTTAGGAGATGTGGAACAGCCAATGGAAGATTCTCTATCTGTTACTCTGCCTTTCAAATAAATAAATCTTTAAAAAATGAAAGACAAATTAAGATGTAGTCTTAAGATGGACACAGCAGTTAAAATTAGCCCACTTGATCTCTGTATCAACATGGATAGATTTCAAAAACAATGGTCATGGGGCCAGCGCCATGGCTCACTTGGTTAATCCTCCGCCTACAGCGCCGGCATCCCATATGGACACCAGGTTCTAGTCCTGGTTGCCCCTCTTCCAGTCCAGCTCTCTGCTGTGGCCCAGGAAGGCAGTGGAGGATGGCCCAAGTGCTTGGGCCCTGCACCTGCATGGGAGACCAGGAAAAGCACCTGGCTCCTGGCTTCGGATCAGCGCAGCGTGCTGGCTGTAGCGGCCATTTGGGGGGTGAACCAACAGAAGGAAGACCTTTCTCTCTGTCTCTCTCACTGTCTAACTCTGTCTAATAAAAAAAAAAAAAAAAAACAATGGTCACTAAAATCAACATGCCGCAAAATAATATCTAGTGTTACAAAGGAGCTGCCTTGGTGAGCTCAAGAAAGGGAATGGGGCTGAATAAGAGAAAAGAAGAGAGGGATTTCATTTTACTAAAAAACCCCAAATATACAAATCTAAGTGAAAAGATCCCTATATAGCAAAAAATGACAAAATGTTAATTTTGGTTGACAGGTGCTTATTATGCTGTTCTCTGTGCTTTTCTGTATGTTTTAGTTTTTTTTTTAAGCAAATAGTGATGTCAGACTAACTTCAAAGCTCATTAGTCTGAAGGGTCTCTCCAGGCTGCCTGTGCCTGCTGTCGTTGTTTCTGAAATGCATACTGGTGTTCTGCTGCTTTCTCTGCTACACTACCCAGTGAAAGAAGTCTTACTGCGGAGTGATTCATGTCAGGTGCTGTTGTAGGCTGGGTACCTGTTTGGAGGGAGTGTTACTCGTAGCAGATGGGTATTTGATGGTTTGCAGCTTTTCAAAGGCTGCCTGGCACTGCTCTTGAGTGTCAAGGCCGAAGATGGTCTTCCATATTGTCGTCACCCTCTCCACGAATGGCCCTTCGGTGACTTCGGCCCATGTGTGGTAAGAAGCGGAGGAGCTTTTGCCCTCTGGAAGCTGCTTTTCCTCTAGATGCCTGGACAGTAGCTCAAGAAGGCAAAATACCAGTCTCTGACCCTGGAACCCAACAGCCAAGAAGAGGAATTGTCAGAGGGAACGCATGTGGATTATGCAGAGAGCTTTCCCATTCTTCAAAGTATTCCCTTTTCCATCTGTAAGCAACAGACCTCTTTAGAGCTGTCTGCCCAGTGTGTGAGGGTCTTGGAACCCAGGAAACAAGTTTCCTTACATGGAATCCCAACCACAGACCTTCCCACTACAGTTTAAGCTACAAACAGACCAGCCACCTTAGGCATGTGGCTCACTTTGAGAATAGATGGGCTGGGCTCATCGGGTTCTCTGTGCAAACCTCATAATGAGCAATACAGAAGTAAAGTGCAATGGGCTAGGGGTGCTGGAGCATACAGGCCTGGTAGAAGGGAGTGCTAGGGCAGACATTTAAGTCAATATTGAAGTAGGGTTAATAGAGAGTCAGCCAGGAGAGATGAGACAAGAAGCATAGAGAAAAGGCCTGGACAATTTTTACTTTTGCTGGATTTACACTTGCCCCAAGGTTCCTTGTATACTCCTGTATTTTTCTCTCTTTCATACAAGCATAATATCCTTTATCAGAATAGTTAGCATAAGCTTATAGGTTTTCTTGCTTGTTAAGCATGCTATTTAATAAAAAATTAGGCCAGTGCCACGGCTCAATAGGCTAATCCTCTGCCTGTGGTACCAGCACCCCAGGTTCCAGTCCCGGTTGCTCCTCTTCCAGTCGAGCTCTCTGCTGTGGCCTGGGAAGGCAGTGGAGGATGGCCCAAGTGCTTGGGCCCTGCACCTGCATGGGAGACCAGGAGGAAGCACCTGGCTCCTGGCTTCGGATCGGTGCAGCATGCCAGCCATAGCGGCCATTTAGGGGGTGAACCAATGGAAGGAAGACCTTTCTCTCTGCCTCTCTCTGTCTAACTCTGGCTGTCAAAAAAAAAAAAAAAATTAAATGTTGGGGCCAGCATTGTAGGAGCTGCTTCACTCATTACACCATAGCATCGACTCCATAAATGAAATCTAAAAAAAAAAAAGGGGGGGGGGACTGAAAAACAAATCTTAGTGTCTGAAAAGTAGGTTCTAAAATGGCCCAATTGTGTATCTGTTTAGATTAGGTGAGGGTGCCAAGGAGGTGAAAGTAGCCTCAAGCTAAAGTGTCAGGATAAGTGACGCACTTGTAACCAGAAGAGAACAAATGAACATTTATAGAGGCCAACACTCCCTCTCTTCAAGGAACACAGCATGATGACATCAAAGAATAAACACCAGTCTGCCAACCCAGGGGCTGGCTGGAAATCCAGTCCTGATGTTTTGTCCAAACTGACGAGCTCTGGTCCTTCAGTGAGAGCACCAGCAGGGCTTGCTGCACATTTCTAAGGATACCTGTGAAGTTGCTACCCTTTGTGCAGCTGGGTTTATTCAGTGGGCTTTGACTAGAGAATTCCGGAGCTTCCCCGCTACATCCCTGGAGATGAAACAGACTGACCTGTAGACTCTGATGCAGCTGCAGTGCTTCCTGGGCTCCCACCCAGTTCTTGGTCAGAAGCAGCTCTTGGGCACATCTAAGAGCCAGGGAGGCAGACAGCTCTTCCTCTCCTACAATTGTAGCCAACTCAGCAGCCGTTCGAAGTGATGCTGCATCTCCCTTTTTGGCCAAAACTTTGGCAGCATCATAAGCAGAAGTGGCCCCTAAATAGCTATGGTATGAATGAGAACCCAAACACAGTGTCATCAACAGATCTCTATTTCCCTGCCCCAGGGGGTTGAATGACTTCTCTTTGTTCATTGTTTTGAATGTGCCTCTCTGTGGTCCCAAGGTGTTGCCACCTCTGGTTGTTTCCAGGAAGGCTGAGGCCAGCACAGCTCAGCAAAGTGAATGAGAGTATCACAGGGCTGAGGACAAACACGGACATGTGCTGAACTGAACCCAAATACAGGAGTCATTCCCTCTCAGTTTCCTTTCTGGGTTGCAGAAGACATCACTAAAAAAAGCTATAATTTCTGAGCCTACTACTGAGGTATCTTATATAGTTAGGGTGATTTACAGCAATACCCAGAAGGTGGATCCTGATGAGTCTTATAAAGCTGGGTACATTGTACACACGCTCTTTGATTTTTCAACCACTATCTCCACCTCTACAATTCTTCATGCTTTTATTCTTGTCCTGCTGTCCCTGACAGAAGCTCTGTGTTTGGGTGTACTCTTGTTCCCCCAGACTTACCATTTGGCTGCTACAGCGTAGTGGCCATCTCTTTCTAGGATAGTTCCCCAGCTGAGGTATAGGTCCTTCAGGACAGGGTCCTCTGGGCGCAGCCGGGCCTTGGCAACTGCAATGGCTTCCCTAAAGGCAATAACACATGCTTCAGCCCATCTGAAGAGGCCCCTCTGTCTGAGGCCGTAGGAGATGCAAAACAGGACAAACCGCTTCTTTTGTGTTGTCTGTACTATTCCAACTTCTTGTAAAAACGATTCCCACAATACATGGGCAAATTAAAAACACATGCTGCATTCAGTTCTTCCCCTGGGGTGGAACTTGTCCTCACACCCTTTGGGGAGGTTCTTGAGGTCAAAATAATTTTCATGATAATGTTATATATACATATATTTTTTACCATACTGCAATTCGCACCAATTGTACAAAGGCAATGGGGGGTGGAAGTGCTGGTATCTCATCAAGAATTAAGACAATGGCCCTGGCATTTTTTAAAAAAAGATGAATGTTCAGGATGAAGGAGTAAACATTTCTAATTTTACTGTATTTCTCAAGTCTGCATCCCATTCATATTCGTGTGACAAAATAGGAAGACGACTGTGTGTTCCAAGTACGACTGTCTCTAGGAAGAGCCTGCAGAAATCAGCAGCAAGCTGAACTTGCTGCCTTTTCCTGGAACCTCTTTGCCTTAACAGATAAATCCAGGTACTCAGCACTGGGTATCTGGCAGACATTTACTGAAAAAATGAACAAAATAAGCCTGTTATTTCACAGAAAACAACTATTGGGATTTGCTGCTAATGACAACATTTGACTTTCCAGTGAAAATTAGAATTTCAGAAAACTTGTGCCTGGCACTGTGAGCTTGACAGCTTCCTAGAAGCTACAACCCTCCTCCCCTTTTTTGAATTATTATTAGATTGAGGGGATATTACAGAAAGTAATTTTTAAAGAATGTTTTTAATAAAATGTGTCAATATTTGGAAGATCTGTATAACTCAGTGAACTAATATCTTTCAAATGACATACTACTTCTGAGTTGTGGCAGCCTAAAACTGTAGCTGGAATAAAAGTCTGTTAGACCAAAGTGATTTATAGGGAGCAACATAGAATATTATGGGACTTTGTCACTCAGCCATGATGGAGTAACTGGGACCAGTTTACCCTTCTGCCAAAAAAACAAACAAAACAAAAAACAAACAAACAAACAAAAACAAATAAAAAACCTGGACCAACTATGAATGAAACAACTCTTCAGACACTGGACAACAAGCAGCACTGGAGTGCCATTCCGACAGAAGGGAAGCCAGTGGTTGAGCCCTATCACAGCCACTTTCTGCCTAAAGCCGCTCTCTTTAGGTCGACTCCAGCAGATCAGTTTCCACAGTTCCCCTGAATTGAGGAGATGAAACAATGGAATTTGAGGGGCACCAAACTAGGAAGGAAGGAGCTGTCCAAAGATTTTCACAACTTTGCTTGGGGATCCCACTGAGCCTTTGGATAATACAAACCCATGTATGCGAAGGAATCTCCTTAAGGCTAAACAAAGAACACAGGGAATTGTGAGCTGAACAATTCCCAGAGCTCACACTCAGGGCTTGGAGACATGTGAGTTCTGACTTGTTGAATCTATAAGGCATTCTATAAAGACATCAGAAGGTAGGAGAGCAAACTAGTTGTAGAATGTGGATTTCTCCAAACCTGTCCTAACAAAGTTGAACAGCTTTTGGATCAAGCTGCTCTATAAGTAACATTACTACTTGCCAAAAATAAATAAATAAATAAATAAAATCAGCAAACAACAAAACTAAACCAGGATAAACAAAAAAGTCTGACCAAAGCACATCATTTCAAATTGCTGAAAACTAGTGATGGAGAAAGTCCTAAAAACAGCCAGAGACAAAAAGACACTTCCTTTATAACAAAGATAAAAACAACCAATGCAAGTCACGGGAAAATGGAATCAAGTGCTTAGCTAAAAAGACAAAAATTTCTAGCCTGTAATTCTATACTCATGAAAAATACTCTTTAAACATGAAATTATAGACTTTTCTACACAAACAAAACTTGAAGAAATCTGTCACAAAAAATGTTGAAGTTCCTCAGATGAAGAGACTGATAGTATTTGGAAACCTGAACCTATATTAAGAATAAAAAGTACTGGAAATAATAAGCATGTGAGTAAATATAAAGTTTTAAAAATCATTTAAAATATTTTAAAAAGATATATTTTATATATCATATACTTTATATAATATCTAGATTATTTTAACCCTTAATACACTGTAAATGCATATTGCACTGTTTAGGAAATAACTAGAAAAAATGTATATGTTCGGTACAGAAGTAATCTTTTTCTTTTAATATTTTTGATCTTTGGTTAGTTCAGTCCATGCATGTAGAAATCCTCTATGTAGAGGACCAACTGTATATCACTGTATGCAATAGGTGATACAATATTATTTGAAAGTAAACTAAGGATACTCATCTTAAACCTTAAGAAAATCATTAAAAAATAAACAGGGTGCAGTTAATAAGTCAGTACTAGAAATGAAAGCTGATCCAAAAGAAAGCAAGAATATAAGAAAAAAGGAGTAAATAACAAAGGGACAAACAGAAAACAAATAGCAACATGGTAGATTTAATTTGCTATATTAATATTTCCATTAGTTGTAAGTAGTCTAAGTATCCTAGGTAAAAGGCAGAGAATATCACCATGGCTAAAAATAGGATGCAACTGCATGCTGTTTGACAGAATTATTTTTCATCTGCTCATTGCTCCTTACACATGTACTGCAGTGAAAGAGCAAGTGCTTGGGCAGGAAGGATGTTTGTCGACTTCAGGAGAAGAGCAGATGAGGAGAGAATGGGGGAAAGGCATTTCAACTAAATCTACAACGTTGTGTATTTCTTAAAAAAATAAAGCTGGGAGACATGGAGACCTTTTGAAGTGGCTGGCAACAGGGTTTTCCTTCCCTAGATGGGGTTAAAAAAGGAGTTCTTTCAAAGTGTGTGTGGGGGGACTTCTTTTATAAGAATAAGAATTCATTAAGCTGTTCACTTGCTGTACGCTGTTTCTTATACTTGTTTAACAGTAAAGAACTTTATTTTTCACATTATGTCCAACTACTGGCTCAACTCAGGATCATACAAACCTGTAAAAATGATTTGACTTGAGCAGCTCCACAGCTTCATACACTTTGTGGATGGAAAGTAGGTGAGAGGCGGCCTTGACATACTGATCCTGAAAACATAGTTGTTTGGCAAAAGCTTCCACAGCCCACAGCCACACGTGGTAGCCCGCTGAAAAAAATGAAAGATGCTGCTTAATGTTTTAAAAAGGAGGTTTAAGGAAAAACAGGTATATTTGAGCTGAAAAATGCTGTGTTTTTGTAGTCACTGCAGTAAGCAGAACATTTAGATACCAACTGGACTACCACTACAGATCATCTGCTTCATCCACCTCCCCATATCTATATTTTACAATATAAACTGTTTCTTTGGTTATATAATACATACAAAATATTACAAAACTCAAAAACCACAAGTCCAGGGCAGTGGTTACCCTTGTAGGGGCAAGGGGAGGCGGTGACCACAAGGGAGCATTATGAGAGCTTCCAGGGTGCTGGTAATGTTAGCTTTGTTGGTATGTGTTACAAGGTAAATTCACTGTCCATTCACAATCTGTACCTACCTCTTTCTCCATGGCAAATATATATTATGGAAAAAAACTGAGCATGGATTTCAAAAATGTTATGTACCAAAATAAACTTACCCTTTAATTCTATTTTTCTATAAATTTTTTGAAGTACTCTTTTTTTTTCCTTTTTTTTAACTTTTATTTAATGAATATAAATTTCCAAAGTACAGCTTATGGATTACAATGGCTTCCCCCCCATAACTTCCCTCCCACCCACAACCCTCCCCTTTCCCACTCCCTCTCCCTTTCCATTCACATCAGGATTCATTTTCAACTCTCTTTAAATACAGAAGATCAGTTTAGCATATATTAAGTAAAGATTTCAACAGTTTGCACCCACATAGAAACACAAAGTGAAAAATACTGTTTGAATACTAGTTATAGCATTAAATCACAATGTACAGCACATTAAGGACAGAGATCCTACCTGAGGAGTAAGTGCACAGTGACTCCTGAAGTACTCTTATACACAGTATACTAGAATAAAAAGCTAAAATATGAACAGGTTTCTTTGTTTCCTGAGCACCCTTCACCATACCTCAAGCTCCTTTTCCTCTGTCAACCATCATTACCAGTTTCTCTTAAAACCTTTGGAGACAGTCTATGAATATGCAACCACCTAACTGAGTAAACACAAATGAGTATTAAATACTTGGCTTTGTGTCTACAACTCCATTCTTCTCATCTATTATATTTGGTGCTCCATTCCATGTGAGGATACAGAGCTGTTTTGTTCTTTTTCTGTCTGTTAGGGTTTCTACCGTACATGGTCTAATCAGTCTATTACTGATAGACATAGAAGCTCTTGCCACTTTTGCTATTACAAATAGTACTGCAGTGAAAATTCATGTATGTTTGTCATTCTGAGTTGAATAAATCCTGTAATTAGAATCAATGAACCACAGGTTAAAAGTACTTAACCATTTATCAGACATGACCCATTGTTCTTCAAGAAGTTTTCTCTAATCATGGTTTTGTCATTAAAGGAAGCCAGTGACCTGCTGTTTTTCAGAGGTTGGGTTGATTTATTCGCCAGCCTATTGCTAAAAATAGAATGAGCTGTGTTTCTAACTGTATTTGTGATTTTAGGCTTAAGGTTGGTGTTGCTAAGTCTTCTTGAGTGAACACATCCTAGAGATGACAGAGCTTTGTTGAACATACCTGCTGGTGCCATAGCCACAAGATTGTCTGTCAGTTCTCCCCGTTCTGCTGCGGTCTGGAGAACTCCCTTTAGGTCCCCCTTCCATAGCATGAGCTGGTGAAATAGCTCCGGGTGGCCATTTTCCAAGTGACCTTTTCCTGTTTGGAAAAGAGAGATGCAGGTCGGGAGCTGAGAACCTAGTTAGCTGACCTGACACGTAAAACTCTCTATTACAGTACTATAGCAGCCATGTAAGAAGTTCATGCTCTTTTTTTTTTTTTTTTTTTAATTTGACAGGTAGAGTTATAGACAGTGAGAGACAGAGAAAGGTCTTCCTTCCTTCAATCTCCAAATGGCTGCCATGATTGATGCTGTGCTGATCCGGAGCCAGGAGCCAGGAGCCTCTTCCTGGTCTCCCATGCGGGTGCAGGGGCCCAAGCACTTGGGCCATCCTCCACTGCACTCCCGGGCCACAGCAGAGAGCTGGACTGGGAGAGGAGCAACCAGGTCTAGAACCCGGCACCCATATGGATGCAGCGCTGCAGTGAGGATTACCAGTGAGCACTACGCTGGCAGAGTTCACGCTCTTAATGTGTGACTGGTAAGATGGACAGTACTATGTTACCTTGACTTGTCTCACCTTCAATTTCAATCATTTTGTACAAGGTAGCTCTGTCTGTGAAAAGTCCCAGGTGAAATCTTTCCTCCAAATCAGCAGATACATCCTCATTTGGCTCTGTTAATTTTAAAAGACAAATAGTAAGATAAAATCATTATATTGTTCTGTGTCCAATAATTTTTCTTTTTAAAAAAAAAATTTTTTTTTTTTTTTTTGGACAGGCAGAGTGGACAGTGAGAGAGAGAGACAGAGAGAAAGGTCTTCCTTTGCCGGTGGTTCACCCTCCAATGGCCGCCATGGCTGGCGCGCTGCGGCCGGCGCACCACGCTGATCCGATGGCAGGAGCCAGGTACTTCTCCTGGTCTCCCATGGGGTGCAGGGCCCAAGCACTTGGGCCATCCTCCACTGCACTCCCTGGCCACAGCAGAGAGCTGGCCTGGAAGAGGGGCAACCAGGACAGAATCCGGCGCCCCGATCGGGACTAGAACCTGGTGTGCCGGCGCCGCAAGGCAGAGGATTAGCCTAGTGAGCCGCGGCGCCGGCCTCAATAATTTCTGAATATTTGTCAGAACACCCACTAAAGATACTGTGACCATCAGGGCTGCCCATGCTTACTCTGAGCCCTGTTGGTTACAAAGGTAGCAAAACAGGGAAATATACAAGAGATTTTTTTTTTTTTTTAATTTTAGCTTTGATAAAATCCAACTGGACAATACAGTTTGTAGTCTGCTCAAAGAAAGATTTGAGGGGAAAAAGTAAAATGGGACAACTGATTTCAAATCCAACACGTATGTAAATGCTGTAAAAAACAAAACAAAATGTTGCTGGTGCCACAGCTCACTAGGCTAATCCTCCGCCTGCGGCGCTGGCACTCTAGCTTTCTAGTCCTGGTTGGGGCGCCGGATTCTGTCCCGGTTGCTCCTCTTCCAGTCCAGCTCTCTGCTGTGGCCCGGGAGTGCAGTGGAGGATGGCCCAAGTGCTTGGGCCCCTGCACCCGCATGGGAGACCAGGGGGAGGCACCTGGCTCCTGGCTTGGGATCGGCACAGTGCGCCGGCTGTAGCAGCCATTTGAGGGGTGAACCAACGGAAGGAAGACCTTTCTCTCTGTCTCTCTCTAACTCTGCTTGTCAAAACAAACAAACAAACAAACAAACAAAAAAAAACAACCCACAAAATATCATTAATAATCAGTGGAACCTACCACTGAGTAGATTAAAAAAAATAAATAATTTTCCATTAAGAGAAATAATGTAAAATTGTACAGTTAACTGTATAAATTACAGAAGGTCATCACAAAGCCTCTAAAAGAAAGCTATGTAAATAATAGAATCATAACACATCTCTGGTGAAACACAAGAAACTGACAGTGTGACCTGTAGTGAACTGAAATGGAAGACTAAGTGTCAGGGCTGGGACGGGGGGAGATGTTCTTTTTTTTTTTTTTTTAAATTAGGTTTTATTTTAGAATGTGATCCCATTTCAACATGCAAAACTAAAATTATAAAAATACAGTTGCTTAAATATCAAAGCAGCAGGCATTAAATGAATGCTCTGAAAAATAAAAATTAAAAATATTCTCCATAAACAAAAACTCCCATCAGATTTTTTTAAACAACTGCCATATTATGGGTATATTTCCAATAAGAAAAAACATTTTTTTTCTAATTAAAGATACTGTTGAATGAGGAAAGACAGTATAAGGAACTGATTCATACAGTGATAAGTAAGCTAACATCGCAATTCTAGCATGCAGATGGCTGGTAGCAGCTAGATTGAGAACAAAAGCACAGAGCTACCTCTCAGAGGCACTGGGCAGTGCTGACAGTAGGTCAAAATAGGAAGTTTGGCAGTGGAATACAGGGATGTAGGTGAGGAAGAACCATGTACAAACAACAATTTTAGTTTGCTCATTCATTCAACAAGCAAGCAAGCACCCCTCATATGCCAGTCTCCAGAAAACCGTGGATGGGCTGAAGAAGTGTATCTGGTACCTTTGGAATGCTTTGCTGTCGCTAGTACCAAACAGTCACGATGAAGCTCCTCTTTGGATCTGTGATCCAGGTTCGTACTCAGGGGCAGCATGGATCGAGCTTTTCTCTTTTTGATCAAGGCTTCTGAAATGTAATGAAAATCAGACTGTCTAAAGAACTAGTTAGAAATATAAAGTAGAATGCTTCCTGTGTGAGTGTGATCTGAAGGGCTACTGCTGGGCACAGGAAGTTCCTCCTCTGATACAGAAGCTTTCACATCCAACCAGCTGGTGCAGTGTTCACAACAGACACAGAAATACCCGTGCTTACATTTATGAAGCAGTATCAACAACTGCAACACATGCCATCAAGTGCATGACCTCCAACTGACACACAGTCAGAAGGATGCCTACAAATATTTAAAACTGAAACCAACCAACTCCACACACTTCTGAATTCTCAGCTGCACGTAATGCTTTGGGATGCTCTAACAAAATATTTCAGTTACAGATACCAACCTGGCTTCTCTTTAGGTGGCTCCTTTTTCAGTAAAGACATTTTGTTAATAATAGTGCCTTTAGACTTTTCAACACCTGAGGACACTGCAGTGCAGACAACTGGTTCTCTAGAAACTATGTTGTGAGGGAAAAACAAAGAAGAGTTTGGAATAAGAACAATGTGCAATTGAGGTTTTTTTTTTTTTTTTTTAATTAAGAGCTATACTAGGCCTATCAATGCAATTTTATCTGTTAGCAAAAAATGCTTTACCATGGAAGTGTGGGGGTCCCCTTCCCCACCTTACAAACTGGCTATGTTACAGGAATCTGTAACTAGAACTTTGACTAGCTAAGCAAAAACCAGAAGCTTCTAGCCTCCTCAGCTTTATAACACAGATTCAGGAATTTCTAAACTCTACTCAGGTGACAGAGCATTTTTTACATATTTAGGTCAAAGTACTAACTACATATTAATTATACAAACAAGGAATCAGTTAACTAATAGAGAATGTATGTGATACGAAATCACAATCCTGAGCAGTGGTAAAGAAGATTTTGGGTGCAGAGGTATTTTGTTGAGCCAAACATACAAATTAAGCTTTTAGCTCTTCATTTACCTTAGCTATAAGTCCAGCAGCCATCCTTGGGATGGACAAGGTCAGAGATACCTCTGTACCATCAATTTTGGCCCTTTTAATTCTGTCACATCAAAATAATTTGTAGAATTACGCTTATCAGTCACTGCTTCTCTTTATATCATTTGCTATTTAATCATCTATTTTAACAGATAAGAGGCATGGACAATAGATACTGAAGGTAAACATATAAAGTAATAAAAGTGCTAAAATTTTATCCAGCAACATTTTTTTTCTCTTCAAACTAGAAATAGACTCTATTAGTGGAAACTAATGATGGCTTGCTGTTTTGCAAGAAATCTAAGATTTGCCACCATAGCTTAACTGATTAGAAGAACCTATTAGCTACCCACAAATGTTTTTCTGTGAGAAGACAGAAAGCCAGGATGAAAATCAAGACAGGAGGGGAGAGAACTTGTAAGTTCCCACTGAGGTGGCAGCCCACGGGTGACATAGTATGGGACAGTGGTTCCAGGAAGTGGCTGCCATCACACTGCAAAGCTTTTCCCTCTGTAACCACCACCCTTGCTTCACTTTGTCCCCTGCCTGGCTTGACCCTGGTTTTTTCTTTAGCATTTTATTGTTTCCACCCCAGACATCTACTAGATCCCCTTTAACACTTCAAAGGGTTTTAAATAAGAGACCTAAATAACACTTTAATAAATCCCATGAATAGTATTTCAAGGGCACTTGATGATCCCGCCCCAGTTAAGAGGTTGAGCAAAGAAGCAGGTCTGAGACAGAGCAGTATCAGACTGGGCGGGAGTCAGTGAGAACCAGGACGCTGCCACATACCCACGGAAGCAGAAGCGGGGCTGCAGGGCGGCTCTGGATCCTGGGCGTCCTCCTCCCCCTCTGCGTCCGACACGCCGTTCTCCACAGGGTCCGAGTTGTCCTTTATACTTTCTTCTTCAGTCCCATCCAACATTTCTTGCTTTACAGGTGCTCTCACGGTGGGCTTTTTCTTCTTTTTAGGCTTTGGTTTAGGTTGAGAGAGCCGTTTTTTCTCTAATTCAATACTTTTCTTGCCTGTGGGAATCACAGTAAAAAAGATTAAACTAAAATTGATATTCTTGGTTAAAAGCACTCTAAGTGGTATCTCTAATACTTTATAACTCATCCTTCTTCCCCTTCCTTCCCAGTGGATTTTCAATTTATGACAGTGTTAATTATTAGAATTCTATGAAACCATAAATGTTATTCTGTTACCCCTGAATACTTTAGTGTCTCCTACAAGCAAGCCCGTTTTTGAGCATCACCAGTGTAGCCAGTGAAATCAGAAAATTAACATCAATAGACTATTCCAGTGCACTGCACATACTCCATCAAACCCCCAAGTTGTACCAAGAATGTCTCCTGTAGCAAAAGGTCATCATACCACTTTGGAACACATGCCCTCATTCTGGAACACTTGCTCATTTTCCTTTGACTTTCTTGACTTGAAACTTTTATTATTATTATAAGAAGATTTATTTTTATTTATTTGAAAGGCAGAGTCACAGAGAGAGACAGAAAGGTTTTCTATCTACTCTTATTATTCTCCAAAAGGCTGTTACAGAAGGGGCTGGGCCAGGTTGAAGCCACAAGCCAGGAGTTTCACCTGGGTCTCCCATGTGGGTTGTAAGGTCCCAAACACTTGGGCCATCTTCTGCTGCTTTCCCAGGTGCATTAGCAGGGAGCTGGACAGGAAGCAGAAAAGCTATGACTTGAATCTGCATCACTATGATATACTGGCATTGCAGGTGGCAGCTTAACCCACTGCGCCACAATGCCAGCACCAATATTATTTTTTAAAAATTCTTTACTTGAGGGCTGGCGCTGTGGCGCAGCAGGTTAACGCCCTGGCCTGAAGCGCCAACATCCCATATGGGCGCCGGCTTGAGACCCGGCTGCTCCACTTCCGATCCAGCTCTCTGCTATGGCCTGGGGAAGCAATACAAGATGGCCCAAGTCTTTAGGTCCCTGCTCCCTGCACCCACATGGGAGACCCAAAAGAGGCTCCTGGCTTCAGATCAGCACAGCTCTGGCCGTTGCGGCCAATTGGGGAGTGAACTAATGGATGGAAGACCTCTCTTTCTTTCTTTCTCTCTCTCTCTCTCTCTCTTTCTCTCTGCCTCTCCTCTCTCTGTAACTTTGACTTTCAAATAAATAAATAAATAAATAAATCTTTAAAAAAAATTATTTACTTGAAAGGCAGAGTGACTCAGAGAGACAGACTTTCTATCCAATAGTTTACTCCCCAGTTTCAACAGCTAGGTCTGGGAACACATTGAAGCCAGGATTCCAAATGCCACCCAGGTCTCCCATGTGGGTGGCAGGGGCCCAAATACTTGGGCTATGTCTGCTGTCTTCCAAGGTGCATTAGCTGAAGAACTGAACAGCTGGGAGTCAGACACATCAATATGAGGGTATTGCAGGTGGTGGCTTAAATTGCTGTGTGACAATGCCCATTGCTTTGATTACTTTTAAATAACCTTTATTGAGATATAATTTGATAATTATATTGAGATATAATTTAATAAGATAAAATATACCCACTCTTTAATACTTTGATGAGTTCTGACAGATGCATAGTCCTGTAATTCACTACTCCCATCAAGGTCTAAGAATTTCCATTACTTTAAAATGTTCCCCCATGATTCTCTGATAAGAGGCACTGCACCGATCTGAAGCCAGGAGCCAGGAGCCAGGAGCTTCTTCCTGGTCTCCCATGCGGGTGCAGGGCCCAAGGACCTGGGCCATCCTGCACTGTCCTCCCGGGCCACAGCAGAGAGCTGGACTGGAAGAGGAGCAATAGGGACAGAATCTGGCGCCCCAACTGGGACTAGAACCCAGGGTGCTGGCGCTGCAGCTGGAGGATTAGCCTAGTGAGCCGTGGCGCCGGCCTACTCAGTATGTTTGCGTGATTTATGTATTCTGTTGTATTAGCAGTTACATTCTTTTTATTGCCCAGCAGAATTCCACTGTAAGGCTATATCACAGTGTATTCATTTAACTGCGGAACATGTTGCTTGTTCCTAGTTTCTGGCAATCACGGGTAAAGCTGCTATGAGTATTCTTGTACAAGGCTTCATGGAGACATTTCATTGCTTTTGAGAAAATCTGTAGTTGTTTATGACAGGTGGGCAAGTCTGGTACTAGTGAATTTTTGGTAGCCTAAAGTGGAATTCTTTTGTCCCTCCCTCCCTTTCTCTCTCACCCTTGTCTTTCTTCTTCTTCTTGTTTTTTTTTTTTTTTTTTTTTTTTTAAGATATTATTTATCTGAGAGGCAGAGTTAGAGAGGGAGAGAAAAACTGAAAGGTCTTCCACCCACTGGTCACTCCCCAAATGGCCACAGTGCCTGGAGCTGGACTGATCTGAAGCTAGGAGCCAGGAACTTCTTCTAGGTCTCCCACGTGGGTACAGGGGCCCAAGCACTTGGGCCATCTTCCACTGTTTTTCCAGGCCAGCAGCAGAGAGTTGGAGCAGAAGAGGAGCAGCCAGGACACAAACGGGCACCTGTATGGGATGCCAGCGCTACAAGTGGAGGCTTAGCCTACTATGCCGCAGCACTGGCCCCATGTCACTTATTTTCACAATGAGGCTGTCCCAGGTTTGGTCTGTAGGAGCCCTTCAAGCTACCTTCTCTGTCCTTTTGATGTGTCTACTTCATTCTTTGAACACTTCCTTCCTTTGTGGCTAACGATGATGTTTCAGACTCACTTCATATTTCCCCTGTCCCAATCAGCCATTTTTTTGATAAGCCCTGGATCCTATGACTGCAGAATGGTATCTTGAAAGCAAGGTCTGGGCTTAAGTGTACACATCACAGTTTGGCTGCTGTTGCCCTGAGGCCTCCATGGCTGCCTTGCTTAGGTTCCTGCCTTTCTGATGCTGCTGCCCACATGAATATCTTCATCACTCGACCTTGATCAGTTCAGCTACTGGAGGAAGGGATAAAGGTAACTGGGAGAGCGTTTAGGGACTCTTGTTCTCACTGACCTTGAGGAGGCCGAGAATGATCTTGCATGGAAGGGAGCCATTTGTACACACAGAAGTCATCTGCCCCTGAGTAGATGCAATCAGGATCCAGTGGGGACCAAGCCACGCAAAGCAGCCGACCTCGATGTCCTCGGAAGTTGCAGAGCGGCTCCTCTCGGAGGGTATCCCACACCTAAAACCCAAAGGCACATGACTGAATAGACAGCTACTGCTAATTGAGCTGAGGGCAAAGCTTTTATATTTTTAAAGTCTGTATGGACTCCTACTTCTCCTATGACATGTCATTTTTCTCCTAGGAGTTCAGTTCCAGATAGTACTGTTGTGTGTGGGATGCTCAAGTGTTCTGGGATGTACATTTTCCTATGGGGATGACTTTGAATGAGCTTTTACTGGTGCCCTATGGAGTTCCCTACCTTGAACCAGTACTGTGTGTTGATTTTTGGTTTGAGAGTTCTGGTCACGAAGAAAATAACCCACTCCTAATTTAAAAATTAGAGCTTTAATTTCTCCTAAGTCCCTGGGCCAATGATCAATTTCTTTGCTGCTTCTTGAATTATTCCAGTGTCCATGTCACAGGAGGCAGTCCCTCATGGTTCCCAGCTATGGGCAGATAGCCCAATTACAATTCAACACGGACAAACGCCCACTACAGACATTAGATTCCCAGCTCCCAAGGTCTTTTTTTTTTTTTTTTTTTTTTGACAGGCAGAGTGGACAGTGAGAGAGAGAGAGATAAAGGTCTTCCTTTGCCGTTGGTTCACCCTCCAATGGCTGCTGCGGCCGGCACACTGCGCTGATCGAAGCCAAGAGCCAGGTGCTTCTCCTGGTCTCCCATGCAGGCGCAGGGCCCAAGCACTTGGGACATCCTCCACTGCCCTCCTGGGCCACAGCAGAGAGCTGGACTGGAAGAGGAGCAACCGGGACAGAATCCGGTGCCCCGACCTGGACTAGAACCTGGTGTGCCGGCGCCCCAGGTGGAGGATTAGCCTATTGAGCCGTGACACCGGCCCTGTTCTTGTTTTAATACCCAAGAAGTTCTACCTCATAGTTCTGGCTTGCCATTTCTTTTGCATTTTTAGAATTCGGAGGTTCCCGATTTATCTTTTTGTGATTTACTAGCCAACATTTTTTTTCGAACAGGAGGGAGTACTTTTCACATCAGTTTAGTCCCTGATATGTCAGAATGCAATGTGTAAAAATGTTAGACTCCAGATAGTTCCCATCAATATGTTAATTTTCATCTAGGTAAAGGAAACCCAGTCTAAGCATGCTTAGGGCCTAGATCAGTACAGTAAAACTAAGCTGTCTTCTGGAGCTCAGAGAATCTCTTTCCGTAGAAGATGGAAGGGAAAGAAAACATGTCCACAAGTGGCAGGGAGAAGACCGAGTTAACCCAGGTGAAGAACTCATCCAGTCAGGACATAACTGTACCTGGGCTGTACCATCATAGGAAGCAGACACCAGCCTTCCATCGTGATGCGGGCTCCATGCCAGCCTGGTAATCTTGGCTGTGTGCCCTGAGAGAGTCCGGTAGGGCTCTGTAATGGTCACTGGTGACTCAGGGTTGTTCTCTAAAAGACAAGGGGAGGACATCATTGCTAACAGTAACAAAAAACAAAAACAAAAAAGGACATACAGGAAGGTATTAACATGGTAAAAGTCAAGATTTTGCCACAGCTAGGTGATTTTCAGCAGCCAGTACTGTTTAATGGGTAAAAGCATGGGCACGTCCACAGAGGCCTATACAAAGACTTATTATAAGAAGTGTTAGTTATTTCTTTCTAAACGCAACTGAGATGTGAATACTGCCTTACAAATGTGATATTAAAAAAGATCATTATGTGTATGGTATTCTAAGTAAAAATGACTAATCTGAATCTAAGTATGAGAAAATAACAGACAAACCCAAATTGATGGAGCACCTATAGAAGAACTGGCCTGTACTCTTTGAAAATGTCATGTAACATTTTTAACAAGGCTGAGGAACTGTTTCAGATAAAAGGAGACTGAAGAGATATGACAACAAAATGAAAATAAGTGATCTGGAATAGTTCCTCTGTTGGAGAAAAAGAGTAAAGTTGCCACCTGCAATGCTGGCATCCTGTATAGGCGCCATTCAAGTCTTGGCTGCTCCACTTCCAGTGCAGCTCCCTTGCTAATGTGCCTGGATAAGCAGTGGAGGGTGACCTAAGTGCTTGGGCTCCTGAACCCATATGGGAGATCCAGAGGAAGCTCCTGGCTCCTGGCTTTGGATCTGCCCAGCTCTGGCCACTGTGCCTTTCATATACATAAAATAAATCTTAAAAAAATTAATGTATTTAAAATAAATTTTATGAAGTTAATAATGGCATGATTACATAAGGGAATAGTCTTGTCATCACAAAATATAAATACTACAGATATGGAGGGGGTTATAATATACACAACAGAATATCAAATAGTTTGGAAAAATATTTATACTTCCTACTTCAGAATAAAGCAAATGGGACAGAATGTTAAAAATTATTGAATCTGGGAAAGATGTGAGAGTTTCTTATACTATTCTTAGAACTGTCTTTAAAAGAAGATGAAAAATTAAATGAAATTGATTCTGGCAGTCTTCTTCCTTTTTCTTCTAGTTAATAGATAATTTAGGGTAGTAGTGTTACAGTAGTTGGCAAAGATTCACACTATTATTAACAGTGAGGTTAATGCCCTTTGCCAAAGAGGATGATTAATTTAGAAACCCAGTAACAGCCGCTAGGCCAGGATCAGCTTCCTAACACAGCTCATCAGTCACATAGTGCCTACGACTTGTTATCAGAAAAATGTCTATACTGCTTGTTAGACTAAAATTTCTTCTGTATATCAGTTTGAGAGATTAAAAAAACCACCTATTTTCACAATGGCTGTGAACATGAACTGTGCAGCACTCTGAAAACAGTTTAGTGTTAGGTCATAATTTCTTCATAGTAGGAAAACAGGGAATCCCACTTCTCTCATGTTAAAAAGGGGGCTCTTCTTTCTACCTACTGTGGTTCCATTAGGTAAAGGGAGTTCAAAGAAGTCTAAGATTCCTTAAGGACTAAGTTACATACATTTTGAAAAAGTTAACATATCACACAGTGAGTAGTACTTTCTGGAACACATGCAGGTTGTGCAATCACACAGTGTGAGCCTGAATCTAGGCTCTGTCACATACTAGCTGTGTGACTTGTAGTCATGGGTGAAACAAGGATAACAAACCCCACGACTGTAAGATTTAGATGCAATTTAACAACACAGGAATGGGGTGCATCCTCTATGTGCATGTGTCATGCTCACATACTGCTTGAGGGAATATAAACTGGCACGATTTTTTAGCAATAACCATAAAAACATTTTAATGTCTTCAACCCTTTACCTACCAATTCCGCTTCTAGAAATTTTCTGCAAATAAGTTACTCATTCACTTTCATGCTGATATATGTACAAGGCTGTGACTGTAATATTACTTAAGTTGAAAAAAAGGTAAACAAATGTTACTCACTTGTGGGGAAGATACATGCATTACACAAAATGGAATGGACAGATTTTTGTTAATGACAGTAAGACAGATCCTATGTATTAACAAAAAAGATGTCCAAGATACATATTTTAAGAAGAAAAATTCCATGTGGTATATATATCTCTATTTATATGGTAATTTTTAGCTAGGTGCAGAAGACTTTTCTGCATTCGTTATTGATGAGGCTTTGGATTATGTAGAATACAACACTTTGTAAGTTAATATTTTTGTCATGTTTGAAAAGATTTTAAAATGAAGATATTTCTTCTGAAAGCAGAAAAAACAGTAAGAACAGTATTTATTTCAATGTCAATAGTAAAATAAAAAGATACAAAGAATAGAAAGGAAAGTAGGTGAAGACATGATACTGTCGCCTGGATGGAAGAAACCAAAGTTACCTATGACAGTCTTCAGGTTGTGCACATAAATGACTGCATTGTTGGAGCCAGAGGCCATCAGATAGCTCAGCTCTGGCTGGCTGCCATGCTCATGATGCCAGCTGATCGTATTCACAAGCTTGTGATGCTGCTGAATGGTGCAGAGCAGTTTCAAGTTAGGAACTTGAAATATTTCTATTGATCTGGAATGAGAAACACAGCAAGACAAGAAAGATGGATGATCGAGACAGTCCGGTGCGAGCAGCTGCCTCTCCCACTCTGTTAGGCAAAAGTGAGATGGAACAGGAAAACCATTTCTATTACTCTAAAGGTCATTCTCGTAAAAGCCAAGTACTGAAGGTTGTTTTCTGAAAATTCTAACAATCTCTGGGAAGTTGCACTAAGACATTTGTATTTGTAATAAATGGTGCTAGAGAGAAGCTAGTGATCCAGTGGCCAAATTCAGATCAAAGTTGGATAGCACACTATAAGCCCTAAAAAGCATTTTTTGCTGAGGCTTACTTTAAAAAACAAGAGTGAGAGGCCAGCGCTGTGGCACAGCGGGGAAAGCTGCTGGCTGCAATGCTGGCATTCCAAGTGGGTACTGGTTCAAGTCCCAGCTGCTCCACTTCCAATCCAGCTCTCTGCTGTTGCCTGGGAAAGCAGTGGAAGATGGCCTAAATCACTGGGCCTCTGCATCTGCATGGAGACCAGGAAGAAGCTCCAGGCTCCTGGCTTCATACTGGCCCAGCTCTGGCCATTGTAGCCATTTGGGGAGTGAACCAATGGACCTCTCTCTCTCTCTCTCTGCCTCTGTAACTCTGCCTTTCAAATAAATAAATAAATCTTAAAACATATAAACAAGCAAAAAAACAAGGGTGAGATTTTGGCAGTTTAATGTAGGAGCTCAGCATCGTGGACTCACAGACCAGTCAAAACACTCTTTTTGGATCAAAAATATCTTAATAGTTCCACAGTTCTCAAAGAAGTAAAGAGTTCCTGGATCAGTCAAGATACAAGGATCAGTCACAATATCAAAGGTAACTTCGCTTTCCCAATTAGCATTACAGATAGCAGTAGCCAGCTTTTGACCAAATATGTGTGTAATTACCAAGTTTTTTGTTTTTTAGAGAAGCAAACACATACCCATCTTCATTGCCAAGAGCCATGATTTTGCCATCTGCTTTCCAGCTGATCTCTGTGTGTACAGGCAATTTATACTAGAAAGCAAAACAAACCGATCTTAACTGTAAACAGTGTTCTTCTCTCCACACAGCTTACAAATCAATGACGACAGCATGAGAAAAAAAATCCCTAGAGTTTAAAAATGTTCTGTGTAACAGCCATTCTTGTAAATAATCAACATTATGAGTCAAGGAGTACTAATGACAAATATTCTAATTCTGATTTCTTACATAAGGCGAAGAACCTAGTAAATAACACTAATGATCTATAGCATTTAACCTTGTGAATAAACCTAATCAAAGATTTTTGTTCACAATAAAGAATGAAATATGTGGACTGGCCTTGACAACATGGAGTCATATTCCTTAATGAAAGCCATACACACTCCTTGTTTCTTCTTTTTTTCTCCAAAATTTCTTTCCCAGAATCTGATTTTCCTCTAATTCTACATGTTGCCGTCTCCCTAGGCTGCCTGGACTCTCTTCTTTTCTTATTTATCTCTTTTGCACACTCCACACATGCCTACAGTTTCATCATCTATCATTTATGATAAAGAATTCCAAATTTCTATTTCCAGCCCAGGCTCCTTGCATGAACATCTGATCTATAGCTCAGCTGCCACTCATCTAAAAGGCTGTTATGAACAGAAAGTTTGTCTCCTTTATTCCCTGCTGAATATTATTGTTCAGATACTAAGAAAGTGAAAGACTGTAATCAATAAATATAATTCAATGTATGATTAAATGTGACTTTTAGGCTAGTCATACTAAAATAAACAGCATTTAAAAAATGCTCATTTGAGAGGGTAAGGAAATCTCTGTTCTTATGGTTTGACTTTACAGTTCTGCAAGCAGATAAATTAATAGAATGGTAAAGCAATTGTGATTTATGTGGGAATCTGAGTAAAGGATGTAAGGGAATTCCTTGTATAATTTCTTTGTATTATTTTGGTAGTTTTAGTCTAAATGTGAAATTATTTCACTGAAATATTAGAAGGCCAATTCTTTCTCAAGCCAAATACTCTGCAGCTGCATTGGCACACAACGTCATGAAGCCATGTATGCCACACATCACTCTGGCTAAATGGACACCAAAGAGGATGCTTCACATCCAAGATCTGAGGGTTTATACTAAATCTTCATGCAAGTAGATAAATATTTTTTGGGGGAGGGTTAAGTTCTTTGCTTTGCCTAAGGATAAACACTCCTAAGATACAGGTTACAGCCCGCAAATTACTTCACAGCCTGTTCTATAAGGAATAACTGCATTTATTATGAAAGATGGGAAGTGTGAGATGTAGATCAAGAGAAGACTTTGCACTGTAAGAACTCACTTTGATTGAGTTGGTGTCCCTGATGAGTTTGTTGATGTCAAATGCTTCTCCACTAAGCTTCCAGGGGTTATGCTGCAGGACAATCCCCTCCCCTCCACAGCTGTATAAAGTGAGGGAGGGTCTGTCTCCCTCTCCTCCTATAAGCAATAAGAAAGTTTGTATCAGTTTCACAGCTTAACTATATGCTGCTGTAGTGTGACCATATCATACTATAAACTGCTTAAGATGGAGTAAAGTGCATGCTCTTTCCACCTGAACACAGTTGGTGGAGAAGTAAAAAGGTACATTAATTCTATTATTAGAATTATTCTGAGATTCCTCAGAAACCTGAAGATAACCCTACCGTTCGACCCAGCCATCCCACTCCTTGGAATTTACCCAAAGGAATTTAAATTGGCAAACAAAAAAGCGTCTGCACCTTAATGGTTATTGCAGCTCAATTCACAATAGCTAAGACCTGGAACCAACCTAAATGCCCATCAACGGTAGACTGGATAAAGAAATTATGGGATATGTACTCTTTAGAATACTATACCGCAGTAAGAAACAACGAAATTCAGTCATTTGCAACAAAATGGAGGAATCTGGAACACATCATGCTGAGTGAAGTAAGCCAGTCCCAAAGGGACAAATACCATATGTTCTCCCTGATCGGTGACAACTGACTGAACACCAAAAAGGAAACCTGTTGAAGTGGAATGGACACTATGGGAAACGGTGACTTGATCAGCATAGCCCTGACTGTTAATGAACAACTTAATACATTATCCCTCTTAGTAGTTTTTTTGTCTGTTCTACTTAATATGACTGGTTTAATTCTGTAATTAATACACAGTTATTCTTAAGTGTTGAAATTTAACTGAAATGTGATCCCTGTTAAACATAAGAGTAGGAATAAGAGAGGGAAGAGATATATAATTTGGGACATGCTCAAGCTGACTTGCCCCAAATGGTAGAGTTAGAAACATACCAGGGGACTCCAATTTAATCCCATCAAGGTGGCATGTACCAATGCCATCTCACTAGTCCAAGTGATCAATTTCAGTTCACAATTGATCATAATGAAAGGACTAAGAGTCAAAGGGAGCACATAAGCAAGTCTAGTACCTGCTAACACTAACCGATAGAATAAATAAAGGGGAGAGTGATCCAACATGGGAAGTGAGATACTCAGCAGACTCATAGAATGGCAGATGTCCTGAATGGCACTCTGGCCTCAGAGTCAGCCCTAAAGGCATTCAGATCTGGCTGAAAAGCCCATGAGAGTATTTCAGGCATGGAAAGCCAAGACACTCTGGCAAAAGATCTCTGTGAGTGAGATCTCAGTGGAAAGAACAGGTCTTCAAAGAAGGAGGTACCTTTCTCTGAAGGGAGGAGAGAACCTCCACTTTGACTATGACCTTGTCTAAACAAGATAAGAGTCGGAGAACTCAGAGGGCTTCCATAGCCTTGGAAACTCATGACTGGAGCATAGGGAGATTACTGATGCCATAGACAGGAGTGTCAATTGGTAAAGTCAACAACAGGAGTCACTGTGCACTTACTCCTCATGTAGGATCTCTGTCCTTAATGTGCTGTGCATTGAGATTTAATGCTATAACGAGTACTCAAATAATATATTTCACTTTGTGTTTCTATGGGGGTGCAAACTGTTGAAATCTTTACTTAATGTATACTAAACTGATCCTCTGTAAAAAAAAAAAAAAAAAAAGAAAAGAAACTATCAACTCCCAACTTGACTCTCACTGGGATTAAACATGACAATAGGTCTGATCTGATTTCATCATCATTAAAAAAAAAATCATCTATTATTTTTCACTTTATGTTTCTGTGTGGGAGCAAACTGTTGAAATCCTTACTTAATGTATACTAAGCTGATCTTCTGTATATTAAGATAATCGAAAATGAATCTTGATGTGAATGGAAGGGGAGAGGGAGTGGGAAAGGGGAGGGTTGTGGGTGGGAGGGACGGTATGGGGGGGAAGCCATAGTAATCCATTATTCGTACTTTGGAAACGTATATTCATTAAATAAAAGTTAAAAAAAAAAAAAAGGTACATTAATTCTACATTAATTTGTATGATGCAATCTGTTTGCTTCATTCTTCAGGAATTCAAAATAGTAGAGGCACCAAAACTGGGTCAGAAAACAACATAGTATGTCATCAAATTAAAGCTTTTGAGCAGCTATTTTTTTCCTCAGAAATGAGTACTGTACTCTTGAGCATTTAAATATATGGAGCTGCAGTGCCTTCTATGGCTAACTGTAAGGAGCTGTCCTCAGAGCAAAGATTTCCTTAGTATTACAGTAGCCAGAGGTGCTGATGGGTTTCTGTGAGAACAACTTTTATTTCCATTAGTGCTGGAACACAATAAACATCTGTTGCACGAACCAGAATTCCAATGCTGCTTGAGTTCCAACAACTTAAAGGATTTACTCTCTCTTAGTGATGCAGTTACTATGGAAAGCCACAGATGTCTCAATACAAATAGTTAAGAAAAGTTTGTAAGAGACTTTTGATGAGTACATTCATTTAAAAAGATGGGGACAAGAACAAAAAGACAATGCTGAAGTGGTAAAGGAGGGAAAGCAGCAAAGTGTAACCAAAGAGAAGAAATCAATACAGAAATCCTAAGTTGTTTTGTGGTGGAAAAGAGATGAGCATTATCCCATTAACACAGTGAAGCAACATTCTAATTCTGATAAAACTACAAAGTGACAAGTTTTAGTGAAGAACAGTAGACTGGGGTCAGGACCCAGAATGAGCTGACTCTATGTACAATGAAGAATTTCAGTTTCAAGAGTAGAACTGTGCTTCCTTTTGAGACTGGGGAGGGTCATGGGGGAATGGCTTCTCCCACCAAGGCCAATTTATGACCTGCCACTACTACTTTATAGACCTCTAGAGGACACAGCAGACTACATAAGCAGTCACTGCACTAGAGCATTTAGAATTCTTTTCAGCTTTAATAGAAAGAAAAGGGAATACTCTCATATTTGTTAACAGAATGGCCCAGACACTTACCAAGTGACATGGGGGGTACTGGTGGCCCCCAGGCTAGCGTGTACACAGTCTTCTTATGATATGTGCTGGAAATCTGTGGAGGTCTATGGGGTGGGGGACAAACAGAAAGATTTTTTAAAAAAAATTTTTAGTGTAAAACAGACCATATTTTTCTGAAAGGTCCCTATTATATAATTAGTTGCTATTAGACAAAAACAATTTAACAATATCTTAATCTATCTATTTGACTACAACAAACTACATAATGATTTCTGCTACCAAAATGATGAAGTCTTAAAGATATCTTACCCAGAAAAAAATGCTACTCCTACCCATCCAGCCAGTTTGGGATCATTTTCCTCATTTCTCATTCTGAAAAGCCCACTTCAATTAAGTGTCAAGTACTCCAATATTACTGTAGTTTTACAGAAGCATAAAGGTTATCACAACTAAAGAAAAATAGGCTGTCTTTTCCATGTGTCAATTCAGAAGATGCATACCACTGAGCCCAGAACTAGGGTTATTGCTAAGCATTTATCATTATCAACCAAATGTATTCACCTTATTTTATATTCATGGAGATGATCAGAAGTCATTTTCAGACTTACCCAGTGAGACTAACATCCCAATCTTAAACTGAAAGATTTCAGGGTGGACAGACTGGTAGTTTTTGATTCTCTCGTAAAGAAGGCTTGCATTTAAGAATATTTTCTAAGGTCACTATGGTGATAATGACATGGGGAACAAAGGGCTGCACTGTTATTACTATTAATATAAATTATATCCCTTGTATGACTTTAGAATTCTAGAACTATCACCAAGCTAGTTGTTGACTTATTTATAGTGAACAATCTAGATAATGAGCCAAAATTTCTTTGGCTAAAAGGAATAGAATAAGCAGGGTTTTTAAAACATTTATTTATTTATTCATTTAAAAGGCAGATAGAGAGGACAGACAGAAGACCGATCTTCCATTTGCTTGCTGGTTCACTTCCCAAATGGCCACAACAGCCAGATTGGGTGAAGCAGAAGCTAGGAGCTAGAATTCCATCCCGGTCTCCCATATGGGTAGCAGGGATCCAAGCCTCGGGCCACCTTTGCTGCCTTCCTAGGTACATTAGCAAGAAGGTGGACTGGAAGCAGAGCAGCCAGGATTTAAACCAGCATTCCAGTATGGGATGCCAGCAGTGCCAGCACCCACCACAACACTAGCCCCTCTAATTTTATTTAATTATAACTATTCTAAGTACAAATAGCCACATATTGCTACTGGCTGCCAAACTGAATTGCACGGGTCTGCAATTTCATCAAACCTCTAGAACAGCTATGTATAAGATACCTAAAGTGGGGCCAGTGCTGTGGCTCAGTGGGTTAAAGCCCTGGCCTGAAGCATCAGCATCCCATATGGGCACAGGTTTGAGTGCCAGATGCTCCACTTTTTAATTTTTTTTTTATTTATTTGAAGACAAAGTTACAGATAGAGAGAAGGAGGGAGGGGGGAGGGGGAGGGAGGGGGAGGGAGGGAGAGAGAGGGAGGGAGAGGGAGAGGGAGTGGGAGAGGGAGAGAGGGAGAGGGGGAGAGAGAGGGAGGGAGGGAGGGAGGGAGGGAAGGAGGGAGGTCGGTCTTCCATCCTCTGATTTGCTCCCCAAAGGGCTGCAGTGGCTGGAGCTGGGCTGATCCAAAGCTAGGAGCTTCTTCCGAGTCTCCCACATGGGTGCAAGGGCCCAAGCACTTGGGCCATACTCCGATGCCTTCCCAGGCAGATTAGCAGGGAGCTGGACTGGAAGTGGAACAGCCAGGACTTGAACCAGTGCCTATATGGGATACCAGTGGTGCAGGTGGAGGCTCTACCTGCTTCGCCACAGTGCTGGCCCTTCCATGTTCTATCCAGCTCTCTGCTATGGCCAGGGAAAGCAGCAGAGGATGGCCCAAGTCCTTGGACCCCTGCACCCACGTGGGAGACCCGGAAGAAGCTCCTAGCTTCTGGTTTTGGCCTGGGCTAGACTTGGTCGTTGAGGTCATTTGGGGAGTGAACCAGCGCATAGAAGACCTCTCTCTCTCTCTCTGTCTACTTCTCTGTAACTCTTTCAAATAAAGAAAATAAACCTTTAAAAAAAAAAAAAGATACCTAAAGTGAGCTATAACTTGAGGGTATTTTGAAAAGTTCACAGAAAAGTTTTGAACAAAAAGTTTCTGAAATCCATGCATAATTTTTTCATAATATGCATTTTTATGAACTTTTAAAAGTACCTCATTATATATATAAGATCATATTATGAAATTATTAATTTTCTTGTGTGACTAGGATATTATAGTTATATAGAATGTCCTTATTCTAAGAACTATAACTTGCTTCACATGTTTCAGATAAAACACATATAAAATCACATAAAACAAGTATGGCCATATGTTAATTGATCAATCTAGATAGAAGGGACATGGATATTCTTTTACCAATTTTACGACTTTAATGTATGCTTGAAAACTCACATAAAACAAAATAATGGTTTATTTCAGTGGTTACCAAATATCAAATGTGCTGAAATACTACCACCTGAAAACTTTTTAAAATAAAATTCTCAGTTCTGAACCTCAGTTTCAGAGCCAGAATCTTATTCCAAAAAAGTCATTCATGCCACTTTGATCTTCATCATTGATATTCTGGTCAACAGGCTGAAGAGAATCACACATTTCTTACTTGCTGGAGTAGGTGTCATACAATCCCACTTTTCCATCATCAGTTCCAAAAGCTAAGCAACCTTCCTTGTTTGGGTGCCAGCACAGCTACAAAAAAAGTTTCCAATAAGAATACATGAGAAGAGGGACACGCCATTAAGGGAGTCCTTACATTAGGCTCCAACCATTCAAATGGACATTTCTTCTAACTGTAATCAATTTCAAGAGAAAAACAAAGAATTTAATATTTTTAATAAAAAATGAAAGTTACCATGATCTAATCATCTCTACCCCCCCCAATCCACCAATTTTGTGTGTTTTTAGGCATTTTTATGGATAAACTTTAGATATACAAGAGTACTTTAGAATGTTCATGGGAAAACAGAATGAAACATAAGTTAATTTCAAGTATTTTGAAATCCATGTGTAGTTTTTTCAGAATATGCATTCTCCATTTTCCCCCATAGTTTTCAGAATATCCATTTTCTTGAAAATGCCTTATATGCATGGAACTCAGAATTTTTAGAGCCAAAATAAAATAAATTTTTCAAATGTTTTGAAGTACCCTCATACACAACAGAAAAAAACAAAGAGTCCTAACATTTAAGAATGTGGCTGGTATACTGTAGAGTGGGAATAAAAGATTCCAAAAAATTTAGAGAGTATGTCTCTTTTAATAATTAACGAATTGGAAAAAGCACACATTGTCATTATGGAAGCTGGAGACTGGAGTGGCAGACAGGGTAGGAAATAATATTTGCTTTCTACACTTCCAGATCGTTGGGTTTCCTTTCATTCACAAACATGTTTTGCTTTCGGATTAAAAAGCAACAGCCCCAACATTGGAGGAAAGCAAAGATTATTATATATAGTCTTTTCTAATCTGCATTCCATGTTTTATAATTTGCATTTTTCATGAATCATGTCTTTCCACATCAAAGAGACATCTATACTATCAGTTTTAATAGTTTGATAGCATCAAAACAGGTGTTTATAACTTGACATATCTTCTATGAAAACACATTCAGGTTATTTCTCATTTCTTAGTATTATGAAAACAGTGAATTCAACAAAGCCTCAATATGTTTAAACTCTGATTTGGGATAATAAGTTTGGTTTCCTTCTGCTCTCCCAGTTTCAAACTTCACCAAAAATGTTTTTAAACAACTTTTGATTCCCAATAGAATTCAAATAATAAATAGATTATTTTCTAAAAGCAGAATTAGTTATTTGAAAAGAAATGTACAAAACAAGCTTAAAAAAAAAGCATCCTTACTGATGTAACCTTGGACTTGACACCTTGCCAAAAATTTTTCACGTCATAGTTGTTCTTAATGGAGAGTGTATTCCAGACGCGGATCATGCCATCCCCAACACCTATTGCCAAGCAGCCCGTGTCCACAGGAGAGAAGGCCAGACTGTAGGCAAACCCACCAAGGGAAGGCAGGGTCCAGCTGCACTCCAGTGTGGCCATGTCCCAACATTTTACCTGAATAAAGTAAAGGTTAGGGCATAAATATTAAAAAGATCAGAGAAATAGGAAAAAGTTTTCAAATAGGATTGGCTAACAGAGTGGGTAATATAATTTAATTTTTCTGGTAGAAATTAGAAAAAGTGGCTTAGGAAAAAAAAAACAGTACAAATTATATAGCTTAAAGGGATCTCAAGAGACTTCGGCTACGTAAACTATGGACCAGGAGAAACAGCAGCATGTCCTCACACATCTTTTCCTGAACACACTCACTTTTCCAGATCATATCTCCCTCAACACAAGCATCCTGGTGGCCCCTCACATCTCACCACTCTGTACTGAGAGTATATTTAGTGCCCATCGTCGCAGGAACTCTGAAGCTGCAACCAGGGGTGGGGTGCTGAGTACTGACAAGCAGCTCTTACATCTCTATCCATGGACGTGGAAAGCAGCAGCTGTCTATCATCCTCAGTTTGTAAAGGACATAAATTAAACACGATTCTGGAGTGGTTCTGCCCTTCTGATGAAGTGCTGAAGAGGGTGTATCTCCGTCTCCAAGACTGGTTGAGATCCCAGAGCAGCAGTTCGCCTCTAGGAAGGAAAAACACAGATCTTAGTTCTCTTTCTTTTCTTTCTTATTTGAAAGACTTATTTTATTTATTTGAAAGAGTTATAGAGAGAGAGGCAGAGACAGAGAGAGATCCTCCACCCACTGGTTCACTCCCCAAATGGCTACAACAGCCAGAGCTGAGCCAATATAAAGCCCGGAGCGTCGTCTGGGTCTCCCATGTGGGTGCAGGGGCCCAAGGACTTGGGCCATCTTCCACTGCTTTCCCAGGCGCATTAGCAGCGAGCTGGATTGGAAGCATAGCAGCCAGGACTCGAACTGGCTCCCATATGGGATGCAGGAACTGCAGGCCGGGGCCTTAACCCACTGTGCCACAGTGCCAGTCCCCCGTGTTAGTTGTCTTTCACAAGTAATTGAAGAACAGTGGTTGTTGAGCCAGAGTCAGAGCCCTTAGCTACAGGTAATTTCTGTCACTTGTTGCTTTAAAAAAAGGAAGAATTGCATATTTTTCAGATATCCACAGAATATCTCTAGGAGGGCATACACACAAAATTTGTCATTGCCTATGGGGAGGGGCACCAAGCAGCTAGGGAGACACAAGTGAAAAGGATGCTTTATTATATAGGTTCATTATTTTTGAACCATGTGAATGTCCTAGACTACTTTTTAATAGACTTTCCTAACAGCTTTAATAATAAAATGCTGCCATAATTCACACAGCTCCTTAAGTTTAAGATACAGTATCTCTCTTTTAGGGTGGTGGTGGAATAGACAAGGTTAACATTTTCAGGTGGTTTCTATGTGCTTTACCTGTTTTACCTCTTTTTTTTGACAGGCAGAGTGGATAGTGAGAGAGAGAGACAGAGAGAAAGGTCTTCCTTTTGCCGTTGGTTCACCCTCCAAAGGCCGCCGCACCGCGCTGATCCGATGGCAGGAGCCAGGTGCTTTTCCTGGTCTCCCATGGGGTACAGGGCCCAAGGACTTGGGCCATCCTCCACTGCACTCCCTGGCCACAGCAGAGAGCTGGACTGGAAGAGGGGCAACCGGGACAGAATCTGGCGCCCTGACCGGGACTAGAACCCGGTGTGCCGGCGCCGCAAGGCGGAGGATTAGTCTAGTGAGCCGCAGCGCCGGCCCCTGTTTTACCTCATTTAAAGGCAGGGAACTTGTCAAATTTACTTTTTTATAGAACTCCCATAAACACCCTAAGAAGTAAACTATTACTACTATCTCCTCTTTTTACATGCTACAACTGAAGTTCAGCAAAGTAAAGCATCTTGTTTATGAACACAAAGCAGGTAAGTAGCAGATAGGTTACAAAATTCAGTTCTGCCTAATTTCAGAACCCACACATTTAACCACCAAGTTATTGTTCAAGCTTTGTTAGTAGACAGCACAGCTATCAGCCTCATGATTTTTCTACTTCAAATGGCTCATCCTAACACAAGTCTTGACTGGTACTCTAACTTCTTTATCCACGAAGAGAAGCCCTGGGAATCCCCAACAACAGAAAAACAAAATACATCAAGGTGATATTATCAAAAAAAGACTTACCCAAAACAGCTGGACACCAGCTGTGTGGGCTGATTACTGGGCCAATGGAGTGTCAACCACAGGCGCTCCTTAACAGTTGGGTCAATTCCTCCTCCTCGTCTCTTCAGAAAGGGCAATTTCAAAATCATTACCCCTGTGGATCAAAAAAGGTTAATAGTATTCAAGACAGTGAAACTACTGCACAAGTCATCAGCAGGTCACAGTATCATCTGTGGTATTTGAAAGGAAGAGTTAAGAAAGAGAGAGTGAGAGTGAGAAAGAGAGAGATAGAGAGAAAGAAACAAAGAGAGACAGAGAGATCTTCCATCCCCTGGCTCATTCTGTAAACGGCAGCAATGGCTAATGTTGGGCCAGGCCAAAGCCAGAAGCCTGTAACCCTATCCAGGTCTCATGTGGGTTGCAGGGGCCCAAACACTTGGGCCATCTTCCACTGTTTTCCCAGGCCATAGCAGCAGGGAGCTGGATCGGAAGTGGTGCAGCCAGGATGCTAAACGATGCTCATATGGGATGCTTCTGTCACAGGTGACAGCTTAACTTGCTATGCCACAGTGCCAGCCCCTAAAGCTTTCTTAGTTTGGTTACTTATAATATAAACCTCATTTTCCACAGAGACATTATCATAAATAGTGGTTAAGATCAGCCTAGCAACATTCATGTCAAGTAAGCTTTTACATGCTGTCTAGGTAACCTTAACACATTAAGAATACACACACACACACACACACACACACACACTTTTGGTCTGGGGAAAACAAGTTCCCAATTATAACTAAGAGCCCATGCTGGTAACACAACTCCAAATTTTCCAGAGTTAGAAGGACAGAGGGTAGGATTACTTCTTCTAGGTGGCTAGAGATCCAAAAGAGAAAAATTGTCAGTCAACACATCATGGCAGTAGTTGCTGCACTGACACATTACCAACCAGTGGCTCCTAATTTGTAGGTGCATCAGAATCACAGAGGCAGCTTTTAAAAATTTATGTGCCAGGACCTACTGCCTGAAGATTCTGACCGAGTAGATCTGAAGAGGGTTCTAAGAACTTCTGTTGGATCATTCTAACCCTGGATAGGGTTACAGGCTTCTGGCTTTGGCCTGGCCCAACATTAGCCATTGCTGCCATTTGCAGAATGAGCCAGGGGGTGGAAGATCTCTCTGTCTCTCTTTGTTTGTTTCTTTCTCTCTCTCTCTCTCTCTCTCTTTCTTAACTCTGCCTTTCAAATACCACAGATGATCCAGTTCAGAGATCCATAGTTTAGAGGCTGCCCTTCTGGAGGGAGTCTCAGCCTGACGTCCCCCTCAGTTTTAGCTGTAGTAAGTCTACAAGTTGCCCACAGTTTGCAAAGTTCACCACTGACCAACCCTGAACTGCATGTCAAGCCTTGTGCTGCTCACCTTACATGCATTAACACATATGGGCCCAAATCATAAAATGTTCATGGCTTAAAATAATGTTGACAGTCCACCCACATTCACACCAGCATCATACACAACAGATAAAACCGGGAAGCAACCCAAGAGTCCACTGATGGGTGAATGAATAAGCAAAACGTGGCACATATGTACAACAGAATATTAGTCAGCCTTAGAAAGGAGGGACATTCTAACATGTGTTACAGAAGGAATCAAGAATATTATGCTAGGTGAATTAAGCCACAAAAAGACATGTACTGTAAGACAAAAAAGACATACACAGTATGAGTTCAGAGACAGGCAGAGGTAGTGGTTGTCAGGTGCTGTGGGGAGAGGAGAACGAGGACTTACTGTTTAGCAGGCATGGTTTCAGTTTCACAACATGACAAGAGTTCTAGAGATGAATGGTGCCAACAGCTGTACACCATTACAGCAAATTTAATAATTAAGTATATAATAAAGTGGTTAGGCTGGTACATTTTATGTGAATTTTATAATAGTATTTAAAAAAAAACTAGAAAAGGAAAACAAAGTCAGAGAAGAGAGGCCCACTATAAAAAGGTGAGACTGTTACTACAAAGGTGACATGCAGTTTCTCTGGAGCTGCTCTCCGTTTCCAAGCTTAAGGGAAGAGTTTTGTTAGAAGCTTGGGAAAACCTCATGCTGAGGGCCCCCATAATTCGGGTACAGTAAGCTTCCACATGTCCACACACACTTGCTTGCTGGCTTTATGTTCTTTCTTCTGCATCTGTGCGTAAGAAGCTCTAACTCTAGACATATTTTCTATTCTTTTGCTTCAGGCCTTGTCACTTTCCAGTATTCCTATTCTTCTAACAAATACCTTGCTGTCCATACTAAGGACCCTTTGCTAAAGCCGGGACCCTGCTTTCTCCTGAAATGTATCAGAAACTCATTTCTAACATGAAAACCAGATGTTCATAGCACCAAGAGTTACAGCCCAAGCTAAATGGGGGAAGCAATTTTCTGGAACAAAAAGGTAGAGAAAAACTTTCTAACAGATGATACACTCTTGGGATCAGAGGATACAACAAAAAAGCTTTTACCTCCACTGGATCAATACAGGTCATCTCACAAAATGAATCTCAAAAACCACTCTTACCTCGGCCTCTAGAGCAGCTCCAGATCCGAATGGTCTGATCTTTGCTTCCAGTGGCTAAGTAGCAGCCTTTTGACAGTGGAGTTTGTGCTACAACTTTCCCATTGTGAATGTCAGGTTCTTCTAGGAGAGATGATAATTTCATTAATATGCATTCAATATACATTTATTAATGAAAAATTAGTTTGTAAGCAATTCTAAAACTTAGCTATCTCTTTCAAAGGTCTGATACAGAAAACCTAAATTTTAGGTTTAATTCAAATGATACAACTCTCTTTACTTCGTTCTGAACTCTCCCTTAAATCATCTCTACCTGAGTTTTCCTCTTGGCTCAGGGATAAACAGTCTTCACCAGGCAGGGGGCACCAGACTATGGAGTGGATCTCATCATCGTGGCCTCGAAGCCTGTGAATCACTTCTCCTTTCTTACTGATGTCCATTATGACCACTATGCCATCCTTGTAGCTAAAAAACAAGTTAGAAACATTAATGAAAAGCCAACTCGGAACATTCTCTCTTGTTAACATTTCAGCTTAGCAGTCACCATTGTGGATGTCTACATATTAGGTGATTCTAAAGAGAACAACAACATTACAGCTTTATTTAAAAATAAACCAACAAAAAGAAATAATACTGCCGGCGCCGCAGCTCAATAGGCTAATCCTCTACCTAGTGGCGCCGGATTCTTTCCCGGTTGCCCCTCTTCCAGGCCAGCTCTCTGCTATGGCCAGGGAGTGCAGTGGAGGATGGCCCAAGTGCTTGGGCCCTGCACCCCATGGGAGACCAGGAGAAGCACCTGGCTCCTGCCTTCGGATCAGCGCGGTGTGTCGGCCGCAGTGCACCAGCCGTGGCAGCCATTGGAGGGTGAACCAACGGCAAAAAGGAAGACCTTTCTCTCTGTCTCTCTCTCACTATCCACTCTGTCAGGAAGGAAGGAAGGAAGGAAGGAAGGAAGGAAGGAAGGAAGGCAGGCAGGAAGGAAGGAAAGAAAGAAATATGGTATGTTAATCTTTGAACACCTGGATTTCAAGGTATGCAATCTAATGTCATGGGATCAAGTTGTTTTAACGTTCCAGTTAAGCTTTCCAGGAATAATCATAGTTTTGAAGATCCTCTAAAAGCACATCACTCTGATTTGGTCCTTTTTGTCCAACTCTGCAGTTCCTTTACATCTACTTGTGACCCCTTGCTCGTTTTTCACGGTCAGTCTGATTCAGGCTTCTCTGAACCCTGCCTTGCACCCTGTATGTTCACTCTTCTGCTGCAACAGTGCTTGCACTTCACAGGATCACTGGTTCACAGAGCCCTTACGTTTTCACCCTCACTCACCCACATCTGTCCTCCTGTCCTTCCCATCCTGCAGCACAGTGTTCATCAACACCGTATCCCTTGTCTCCTCTCATCAGCTCAACACTGTATCCCTTGTCTCCTCTCTCCTGGGGTGTTTACTCCACAAAACCCCAAACCTGGTTGAATCCAACTGTTTCCTTTCTCAGTTTCAGTAGTTATTTAAATTTATGACTGTGATCCTAAGCTTTGTATTCTTTTCTTTTTTAATCTTTTAAAAAAATTTTTAAGAAATAAATTCCTTTTATTGTGTAAAGTACTTTTTAAAAAAAAAGGATATATTAATTTTTTATTTGAAAGTCAGAGTTACACAGAGAGAGTAGGAGAGGCAGAGAGAGAGAGAGAGAGAGAGAGGTCTTCCATCCCCTGGTTCACTCCTGAATTAGCCGCAACGACCAAAGCTACGACGATCCGATCCGAAGCCAGGAGCCAGGAGCTTCCCCCAGGTCTCCCGCATGGGTACAGGGGCCCAAGGACCTGGGCTATTCTCCACTGCTCTCCTAGGCCATAGCAGAGAGCTGGATTGGAAGTGGTGTAGCAGGGACTTGAACCAGCACCCATATGGGATGCCAGCACTGCAGGTGGCGGCTTTACCTGCTATGCCACAGCACTGGCCCCTCAGCTTGGTATTTTTTCTTTTTTTAAAAGATTTGTTTATTTATTTGAAAGACAGAGTTACACAGAGGAGAGGCAGAGAGAGAAATGTCTTCCATCTGATAGTTCACTCCCTAATCGGCTACAATGTCCAGAGCTACGCCGGTCCGAAGCCAGGAGCCTCCTCTGGGTCTCCCACGCGGCTGCAGGGGCCCAAGGACTTGAGCCATCTTCTACTGCTAGCCGGATCTCTAACTGGTGCCCATATGGGATGCCAGAGCTTCAGGCCAGGGTGTTAACCCTCCACACCACAGCCCCCGCCCCATCAGGTTGGTATTCAACACTGAACACCACACCTACAATTTATCTCCACAACTTCGTTGTCATGTTCTCTGAGATGATGGTTTTAGTCCCTTCATCCTGAATCGAGTTCCAACCCACCTGGAACTTGACACCCCACTGCTTTTATGCCTTTCTGAGAAAAGTCAGAAGCTACAGAATGGAACATTTTCCTTTTCCAAACTGACCTACAAACCTACTTGCATCTATTTCAATATTATCAATCATTCTGCTTGTCATCTGTATCCAATGTACTCTTTTTATCTCCAATTGGCCACAACAGCTGGAGCTGCGCCCATCTGAAGCCAGGAGCCAGGAGCTTCTTTGGGTCTCCCAAGTGGGTGCAGGGGCCCAAGCACTTGGGCCATCATCTTCTGCTTTCCTAGCCCATAGCAGAGAGCTGGATCGGAAGTGGAACAGCCTGGACTTGAACCGGTGCCCACATGGGATGCCAGCACTGCAGGTGGCGGCTTTACCTGCTATGCCACGGTGCCGGCCCCTCCAATGTGCTATTGACATCTCAACATCGCTCTTGCTCCTGCAACAAGCTTTCTCTCTTCGGTTTTACTTCCATTTACATAATAACATGTTCTTGGTATCATCCATTAAAGATTTCCTTGACCCAATATTCCTCTTCTGCTTTCATGTCTATGTATGTTTTTTTCATCTATGTTTTGAAAGATTTATTTATTTACTTGAAAGTTAAAATTAAATAGAGAGTGGGAGAGAGATATCTTCCATCTGCTGGTTCATTCCCCAAATGGCTGCAACAGCTGGGTCTATGCCAGGCCCAAGTAAGGAGCCAGGAGCTTCTTACGGATCACCCATGTGTGTGGCAGGGGCCTAAGTACTTCGGTCATCTTCTGCTGCTTTTCCCAGGCCATTAGCAGGGAGCTGGATCAGAAGCAGAGAAGCTGGGATACAAATCGGCACCCATATGGTACCCATGTTGGTGTTGCAGGAAGTGGCTTTACCCACTATGCCACAACATTGGCCCCACCTTTTTACAACTTTATAGAAAAGTTGTATACATGCATATGTCCATTATTATCTTGCCCCCTAGTTTCTTGAATCTGCCCAAGTCCAACTTTTTCCTCCAAAAGTCTAATGTCATCGCTAATGTGAAGTCTTCAAACTGGAGGGTATCTTTGGATGAAAAATTCATGGAGTAGCAAGGGCAAAGAGGATGCTCACTTCTGCAGCTTATGTGAAACAGCTTTGGTGATCAATGGGGAGATAGACCCCAAAGCCATATCACTTCCCCAATCTAAAAGGACAGCTCAGTGCCAGAGAGACAGATACAATCATTTGACACTTGTGGAGTCACTGTTATAGCCAAAGGTAGTATAAAGTGATAAAAGGTGAAAGAGGACATGTCCAACATTTGGAGGTTGACTGGAGGAATTAGATATGATGAATGTGGGAAGTATAGTATCAGGGAAACAAACACAGAGAGAGGGAATGGGATAGACAGTAATAAATGATACCATAGGCTTGGAGGTATGAGCCCTCTACCTTCTGTGGAAAGTTTGTATTGAGGAATAAAGGCAGGTGAGAAAGTAAGGCACATGCAAAATATAATCAATAATCACAAACAAAAATAAAGCTCAATAATGATGGCAAAGTACTTACCCAATGGCCACTAAATCTTCATGATGAGGTGAGCAAGTAAGACAGAAGATTGCCCTGGGTTCTATAAAGAGGTGCTGGCTATCGTTTCTGTTAAGCCAATAACAGAAAACTACTCCTTTCTCATCCCCAGATACTATTAAGTCCTTTACTCGAGGAGACCAATGCAGTGCTGAGATTGTATGCTTTAAGAAAAAAACAAAAAAAGATTTGTTTTTCACTTGTCAGTGCTGAATTTTTACTTAATTTTTACCCATTTAACAGACCATCGTAATATGCTAGGTGCATTATAGGTACTTAAAAAAAATACTTGTTAGTACTACCTGTATAGTGACACCATTATCAACCAAGTGACTGTAAAATTTAGACTAGTGGAGACTAAAGAATCATTTTCTTCTCTAGTGCTTTTTCCAGTGTCTTAACATCTACCAAGAAAGGGAGCAAACAAAACAATGGCCCCTAACAAATGGAAATCTGTTTCTTTTCATATTCTGATTTGCTCTCACCTCAGGAGGGATGGAACTTGCAAAGACAGTAATAAAAGATATAAAAGAAATAATATATAATCTGGGGGCTGGCACTGAAGCGAAGCCGGTAGAGCCGCCAACTGCAGTGCCAGCATCCCATATGGGTGCCTGTTCAAGTCCTGGCTATTCCACTTCTGATCAGCTCTCTGCTATGGCTCCTGGCTTTGGATCAGCACAGCTCTGGCCGTTGCAGCCATTTGGGGAGTGAACCAGTGAATGGAAGACCTCTCTCTGCCTGCCTCTGCTTCTCTGTAACTCCGCCTTTCAAATAGGTAAATAAATTCTACAAAAAATTGTAATGAAAATTCTTTTTTCAAGATTTATTTTATTTATTTGAGAGGCAGTTACAGGGGCAGAGGGAAAGAGAGAATCTAATCTTCCATCCACTGGTTTACTCCCAAATGGCCGCAACGGCCAGGGCTGGGTCAGGCTGAAGCCAGGAGCCAGCAGCTTCTTCCAGGCCTCTCAAGTAGGTGGCAGGGCCCAAGAACTTGGACCATCTTCTGCTGCTTTCTCAAGCATGTTAGCAGGGAGCTGGATCAGAAGTGGAGCAGCTGAGACTCGAATTGCTGCCTATATAGGATGCTGGTATTGCAGGTGGTGGCTTAACCTATTAAGCCACAATGCTAGCCCCATTAATAAAAATTCTTTTGAAGACTGGATGGATTCTTTTCCTTCCTTTATTTGTTCTCTCAAAAGGCAGGTATATCAGATAACTAGCTGTTTTATTTAATTTTTAAAAAGATTTATTTATTTGAAAGGCAGAGTGAGAGAGTGACAGAGATCTTCAATCTACTGGTTCACTCCCCAAATGGCTGCAATAGTCAGAGCTGGGCCAGGCTGAAGCCAGGAATCAGGAACTCCATCCTGGTCTCACATGGGTAGCAGGGGCCCAAGCACTTGGGCCATCTTCCACTGCCTTTCCAGGTGCATTGGCAGGAAGCTGGAACAGAAGAGCAGCTGGGACTTAAACTGGCACACTGACATGGGATGCTGGACTCGCGCGCCACAGTCACATGTCCCCAGTTAATTATCTGGTTTAGAAATGAGCTTCATTCACTCATGTATAGTTTATGGCAGGAGTCAGTTGTAAATGTGTTAGACTCCAGAAGCCATGCCATCTTTGTTGCTAACTACTTGGTTCTGTTGTTGTAACATCAATGTAGACATAGATAATTCTTTTTTTTTTTAAACAGGCAGTGTGGACAGTGAGAGAGAGAGACAGAGAGAAAGGTCTTCCTTTGCCATTGGTTCACCCTCCAATGGCCGCCGCGGCCAGCGCACCGCGCTGATCTGCAGGCAGGAGCCAGGTACTTTTCCTGGTCTCCCATGGGGTGCAGGGCCCAAGGACTTGGGCCATCCTCCACTGCACTCCCTAGCCACAGCAGAGAGCTGGCCTGGAAGATGGGCAACCAGGACAGAATCTGGCACCCCGACTGGGATTAGAACCCAGTGTGCCAGCGCCACAAGGCGGAGGATTAGCCTATTGAGCCGCGGTGCCGGCCGACATAGATAATTCTTAAATCAATCAATATGGTTATATTCTAATAAAACCATCTGCAAAAACAGGCAGTATGGTTCACCAACTTCTGGTTTATATGCACCTCCTATGACAAAAGATTTGAGGAGCTTTACAACATAGAGTTCCTTCTCCAAGTAATAAAACACAAGCAGACATTTGGCACAGTGACACAGTTTGCCACTGAGGACACTTGCTTCCCATACTGAAGTGCCTGGGATTGAGTCTGAGCTCCCTTCTGATTTCAGCTTCCCGTTAACATGACACCTGGAGGGCAGCACGTGATGGCTCAAGTACTTGGGTCCCTGCCATTCACATGGGAGACAGCAATTGCATTGTAGGCTTCTGGCTTCAGCCTGGTGCAGTCCCAGGTGCAGCAGGCATTTGGGGAGTGAACCAACAGCTGGAAAATATCCGTGTGGCAGTCTTTCTCTGCCTATCAGATAAAAGTAAGTAAAAATTATAAATAATGAACAAAACTGTAAAAGTTACCTTGCACATGAGCCAGCAAAACTATACCTGGCACAGATCTAATGAAAAAGGTCAGAGAAACCAGCAATCCACAGTACCTGATGGAGCGCATGTTCTGTCACAACTGCTCTTGTCTCTACATCCCAGATTTTCACAGTCCCATCGTCGGAGCTGGAGGCACAGAGGTTGTACTGACCAGGATGATGAGAAAACGTGAAGCCCGAGACCCTTTCGGTGTGTCCCACCAACTCTCCTACAACTTCAAGCAAAACCAGACTCTAGGTTAGTTAAAGTGCTCTCCAAGATTCTTGGTAGAATCATACTGTTGTTGGATCGCGAATGATCAGATGGGGTGAACTCAACTCAGGCTATAATAAAAATAACCACAGACTAACAACCTGAAACCCCAAGGACTAATACTACTGGCTCTGCCATGTGACGTCAGACAGAATCCTATCATCTCTTTGTGCCTCAGTTTCCTTAGCTGTAATCGCAGTAGGTGTCTGTTGCTTCGTCACCTCCTAGGCTGGGAAGCTACTCAGAGGAAGAATGTGAAGGCCAGTTTTACATTAGGCCTGAGGTCGTTTGGAGTATAATAAATATCTCGCACGTCTCAGCCCAAGGCACGATCAGAGCTTTAGTTTGGAGCCCGACAGCATCAGGCTCAACCCATTCATCCCGCAGAGAGGAGCATCATATATTCCTATGATTTTGCTCTGAGTCTGCATCCGCAGGCAGGTCCCCAACCTCCGTCTCAGCAAGGCTCCCAGGGGGTTAGCGCGCACTTGGTCTTGCAGGGAACCATGTTTCAAGTGCTGGGTCTACGCAGTGCAAACTTGCAGAAAGGGAGCGGTCCCACGTGCGAGCGCCGGGAGGCGGGACCGGTCTGCCACAGCGTGGTGCAGCTCATTCTCGGAGACCCACGGCAACTTAGCTCAGTGACCGTGAGCAAATTCTCCTCCTGCCGGGGTCTCAGTGGCACTCTCTGTAGGAAAAGGGCTAGCTGGAGACGTCCAGTTGACGCCCCAGAGGAGCAGGACGGACAGGAAAACTCCGGCCCAGGGGTGGGAAGTTACCTCGAAAAGGGGGCGTCCCAGGGCTCGCGCCCGCGCCGGGGCCCACACGCACAAGGAAGACGGAGGTTCGGGCCGCGAAGCCGAAGAGGCCGCCGGGTACCGCATCGCTGCAGCGGGAGCAGTACCAGTTGGGGGAGGGCGGCAGAGTCCGCGGTTCCTGCCCCATGATCACCGGTGCTACAGCTCAGGGAAGCAGCCGCAGGTGTAGACGGTTCGCAGCCCCACGCTGTAGCGGGAAACGGGGGCGGGGTAGACCCTGAGCCCCGCCCCCATAGGCCGCCGCTACGGCGCGCGCCGAGGCCCATGCGGCAGCGCGAGCTCCGGTCCCGCCGCTCTAGGCTGGGAAGGGCGCAGCCACGCACACCTCGCTCTTCGTCCTAATCTAGCCTGGGGCAGGAGATCCGCCCCAATCTTGGTGATCCTGGAGACCAGCCCTGGAGGTAGTCAAATCTCACGGCGAGGCACGTGATGAGAGAGTTGGACTAGCTGTGCCAACTCCCGGCTCTGCGGGTGTTGCTTTGGACCTGTTCAACTACTATCCTGTCCAGTGGTTTTTGAACGCTGTTTGCCAGCCAGAGCGCTTTGCTAGGTCAGCAGATGCTTTAAAGATGATCTACAAAAAAGACAGTTAGCAATAACATAAAAGTACGAATCAGGAATCAAAACGGGAATGAACGGTTTCTGCAACTGGGTGGAAATTCCGACTGAATTCTTGGGTGTTAAAAGATTTAAGAGAAGCCAAATGGAGCTACTCTTTTGATTTCTTTGTCTGCTCTTAAGGGAACTGTATAATGGTGAGTGGTGCCGAAGAAAAACAGTGGAACATGCTTAGGTTCTGCTACTCCTGTATTGTTTGTTTGCATCTGGAATCCTTGTGTGTGTAGCAAACTCTAACCGGAGGTAACTATCAATAATAAGGAGAAATCAAAGATGTATCATGTACTGGGAGGTATCAAGGGCCACTAACTTCAGAGGTACGTAGCCCTAGACTGACCACTGGTTGTGCCAGTTGTTAGTGGAGACTTTAACTTTCCCTGAATATGTTTCTAATTTGAAGAAGGAAGATGATAATCCATGTTTTGTTGGATTGCTATTAGGAATAAATGAGATTTAGAGAAATGACTGCCGCACATAATATGGTAGTAAGATCCCTTTAGGATCAACCTGGAGATGTGTGGGAATTAGGACATCATGCATTATTTCATAATTAAAATATGTGTTCTTCAAAAGAGCTTTCGGGGAGAATCGTTCGTGTACCGTCTAAGACTCCTGCCTCCCATGTTGGAGTGCCTGGGTTTGAGTCCCGGCTACGCTCCCAATCCCAGCTTCCTGCTAACGTGCATGGTGGGAAGTGGTGACTGATGGCTACAGTACCTGGGTCCCTGCCACCCACATGGGAGGCTCAGATTCAGGACGCCTGGCCCAGCCCTGACTATTACAGGCATTTGGGGAATGAACTACTTGGTGGACGATCTGTGTCTCAGTCTGCCTTTCATTTAAAAAATAAAATGAATAAATAAGAATTCTTTTTTTTTAATTTTTTTTTTTGACAGGCAGAGTGGACAGTGAGAGAGACAGAGAGAAAGGTCTTCCTTTGCCGTTGGTTCACCCTCCAATGGCCAAGAATTCTTTAAAAAGGGGAACTTTCATATGATTTTCAGTGATTTTTACAAGCTTGTGCTTCCGTAAGAGCATTTCTGTCAAGAAAATGAGGCCCACCGTGCTAGGTGGCTTTTTCACAGACTCAGTTCTCTCTTTCCTCACAGTTTTTCTTTATCTTAGTGGATTTCTGGAAACCCACTAGTTTTTGGGCTTTATTAAGTCATTCCTTCCCAAGCAATTCTGGCCTGCGGCGCCCGAAGCCAAGAGCTGCGCTTTCCCGGTCTCCATGACAACACCGCAGGCGTGGGTACTACTCGGTATCCTGACCGGAGGGACGCCGGGGTATTGCGCATGCGTGTTGTCCGTGCGGCGTTTGATTTCGGAGGCTTCCGTAGAGGCTGGAGGGCGGGAAAGATGGCGGTGGCCGTGCTGCAGCAGTTCGGTGAGGATTTCTCTTAGCGGTTAAGGGACGGAAAAAAGGATTGGAGATGTGAGTTAACAGCTTGCGTTGATGTTACAGGTGCGTTTTGGATACAGAACCTGAGGACCCGGGGGAAGCTGGCCCTGGGGTAAGTCTGGAAGTGCCAGGCCAAGGCCCAATTATTAGTGTGTCAGTTGTTGAGCGCTTACTTTCCGGCAGAGCTTTAGAGTCTGGGGCCACAGAGGCAAACTAGACCGCCCATGTGTTTGCTTTGACATGTCATTTTTCCGCCGTCGTATTGCGTAGACCTGCGGGGATTAGGTTACGCATCACGCAAGCACCACTGCAAATGTGTTCCGTCAGCCTTCTCATCTGACCTTGCCGGACCTGGTTAGGGTATGGGAGCGTCCCCCTCTCCTAATTACTTCTCTGGTTACTTACGTGAGTTGGGACTGTTTGTAGACCGCCACGGTTCACATCGTGCATGACATTATGCTGAGTGCTGTGTATGCATGATTTCGTTCTCATAGCATCCTAGTAAGTGGGTACTGCTGTTCCCACTGTTCAGACAAGGACATTGAAGTTCCCCGACGTAAAATAACTTGCCCGAGAACACTCAGTTAGAGGAAGCTATGAAGTTTTATACTCTCCCAGGCATTTTGTGGCCTTAGGATAAAAGCATTCTTTAAAAGTAGGGATGCATATGCAAGGTTAGAGAATCCAAGTCTTGGCCTGGCCTCTTCTCTTTGTTCCTCTTTGCAGTGCAGTTATTGATATGTGGAGATCGATAATCTGATTGGAAAATCTTAGTAAGTTTTCTGTCGGGTACATTTGTTAGCAGTTTGGTGTAGTTCATATGCTTTGGAGGCAAGTTGGCTGTGATTCCATTTTATAAATGTGTGATTTTAGAAAAGTTACTTACCTTTTCTAAGCTTCCGTTATTTCTTGTGTGAGAATAGTGTTAGTACTTATAAATATTTCATGAGAATTAAATGAGATGCAAATGAAATGCTAGTACAGTATGTGGCATGTAATAATCCCACCCTCAGCTCTAGCTGCCATTAATATTTTTCCTATTATAGGCTAGTAGTGAGTTCCCAATACATTTAGCCCTGTTTTAGGTATTTGGGTTGGGAGTGTGAAGTGGACTTCATAATAAAGAAGAAAGCAGAAGGCACTTGCTCTTAGGATTCGTCCACGCTTTTGCTTTTCAGTTATGTTCTGTTCCAGTCCAGTAATGCTGATTTACTTACTTTTTCTGTGCATTTACTCATTTACTTGCTTCTTTCTTATTCTGTGTTCTCACTTTCTATCTATACCAGCAGCCCTATCAGATCTCTTTATTGGGAAGTTTTCTCAGATCTCCATAAACCTGGAAGAAGTTAACTTCCCCTTTGTCTTAGCAAGTATACTTGTATAAGGACTTGATGTGTATGTGGCTGTTCTTTTTGTTAGTTTGTGTCTTGATGAGGTTGGAATAGTTCTTGTTGGTCTTTAGCTCCAGTGTGGAGTTTTACACAAAGTAAATACTTTGATAATGTTTATTGATTTGAACCGTCTTACAGTTATGATTTATACTTGGAAACTTTGAGCGAGTAACTTAAGGAGTTTGACTTCAGTCTTTTTCTCTGTGTTGTGATATGGAAGTGTTGAATTTTGCTAGATCATCTCTGAGGCTCTCTGTAGTTCTGAAGTTACTATATAATTTTGTGAACACCCATTCTGGGCTTCTAATGGGGGTAATTACCATATGAATATTAAGTAAAAAGGAGTAAATAATTCTTGTAGTATACATAGAAAATCTTAGATGCAGTGATGGAAACTTAATTGCATAGAGATAAATGCACTGGAAGACCCCTGTGTAAAATGAGAGGTGGGACCTCTGGCAGTCTGTTGAGTGCATTCTTCATCGAAAGGCATTTAATTGGGTTAAGAAAAAATGCTGCTGACCAAATAAAACTTTCCTGTAGGCTGTGTTTGGTAGCAAAGGGACAGTCTTCAATCTTTGAATGCCAACTCTCCTGTTTTACTGACGGATGCATTTTTAAGAAGTTTTGTGTTTTACTGAAGGTTACACCGTTAATAAGTAGCAATGCTAGTTGCTACTAAACTGAACAAAAAAAAATTCTCTGACTCTAAACAGTGCTCTATCAAACTGGGAGTGACAAAGTCATGGGGTGAATGGAGATTTGACAAGGGGACTCTTTGGAAGGGGGAATTAAAGAGTTGAAAGCATGTATTTTGGTGCCTAGAAGTAGAAGGCTTAGTGTGAAAGTTTGAAGATTCTGGTGTCTAATAAGCTGTTTTACATAGGTTAAAATTCTCTCCAAGAAAAACCAATTTGGAAATGTCATGAGTTAGCAGTTTTGGGGAAGAATGAATGACACTGGGCTGCAGAAGATAGAGCTGAGTTTCAGGTATCTGTCAGGGTCACATGGCATGGCCTTGGGCAACCTGTTCATCTTCTCTGAGGCTTGGTTTCATCATCTCAAAAAAAAAAAATGAGGATAACATATACCTTAAAGGGTGGTTGTGGGAATTAGGAGACTAAGCTGTAAAATGTCTACTATAGTGCTTGGCACTGGGAGGTATGTGATGGTGATGATATCCCCATGAGGTTCTTTCAAAGGAATCAGACTTGATGCTGGAAAGGGATCAGTACTCCTCTGAACATCTCAGCTATCAGCTCTACTTTCATGGAACAGCTGGCAAGAAGATAAGAAATTGAAATAGATAGAGAAAGCAAGCATGTGCTTCCATTCCCCAATGGCTGCAACTGCTAGTGCTATGCCAGGCTGGTTCACTCCACAAATAACAGCTGGGGCTGCGGCTGGGCCAGGCTAAGCCAGGAGGCAGTATCTTCATCCGGGTCTCCCACGTGGGTACAGGGACCTAAGGACTTCGGCCATCCTCCGCTGCTTTTCCAGGCACATTAGCTGGGAGATGGATTGACAGTGGAGCAGTCAGGACTTGAACCAGTGCCCAGATGATATGCTGGCATTACAGGTGGCGGCTTAACCCGTTATGCAACAACGCTACCCTCAACATTTGTTTTTATTTTTTATTTTTTTATTTTAAAGATTTATTTTATTTATTTGAAAGAGAGTTACAGAGAATGGTAGAGAGAGAGAGAGAGGTCTTCCATCCACTAGTTTACTCCCTAGATTGCCACAACAGCCGGAACTGTGCTGATCCGAAGCCAGGAGCCAGGAGCTTCCTCTTGTCCCATGTGGGTGCAGGGGCCCAAGGACTTGGGCCATCTTCTGCTTTCCCAGGCTATAGCAGAGAGATGGATTGGAAGAGGAGCAGCTGGGACTAAAACCAGCGCCCATATGGGATGCTGGTGCCTCAGGCTTTAACCTGCTGCGCTACAGTGCTGGCCCTCAACATTTATTTTTTTAAGAAGAGAAATTGGGTGCTGGCGTGGTGGCGCACTAGGTTAATCCTCCACCTGATTTGCCAGCATCCCATATGGGCGCCGAGTTCTAGTCCCGGCTGCTCCTCTTCCAGTCCAGCTCTCTCTGTGGCCCAGGAGGGCAGTGGAGGATGGCCCAGGTGCTTGGGCCCCTGCACCTGCATGGGAGACCAGGAAGAAGCTCCTGGCTCCTGGCTCCTGGCTTTGGATCGACGTAGCTCCGACCATGGTGGCCATTTGGGGAGTGAACCAGTGGAAGGAAGACCTTTCTCTCTCTCTCTCTCTCTATAACTCTACCTGTCAAATAAACAAATAAAAATCTTAAAAAAAAAAATAAAGAGAGAAATTGGCCGTTATTTGCAGTTTGACAATAAGCCCTAAAATTATCATGCACTGAAATAACATTTTATAGATGGACATTTCTTTCTTTTTTTTTTTTTTTTTCAAGATTGATTTATTTATTTGAAAGTCAGAGTTACACAGAGAGAGGAGAGGTGGAGAGAGAGAGAGGCATCTTCCATCCACTGGTTCACTCCCCAATTTGCTGCAATGGCTGGAGCCGTGCCGATCCGAAGCCAGGAGCCAGGAGTTTCTTCCGGGTCTCCCACGAAGTTGCAGGGGCCCAAGGACTTGGGCTGTCTTGTACTGCTTTCCCAGGCCACAGCAGAGAGCTGGATCAAAAGTGGAGCAGCCAGACTTGAACCGGCGCTCATATGGGATGCTGGCACTGCAGGCAGTGGCTTTACCTGCTATGCCACAGCACCAGTCCCAGTGGACATTTTCAATTCCATGATATTTATGTTCATTTGGTAAGTTTCTTGTAAATGTGACTCTTTATTCTTTTCAAATCACTCTCAGTACTGTTCTTTCAGTTTGAGTTTATGTCTGGTTAAAGTCTAACTCTGATCTGAAAGGTTTCTATCTTAGTTTCCTAGGACTGATACAACAAACTACCACAAAGTAGGCACCTTAAAACAGTGGAAATTCACTTACAGTTCCTTGAGTTAGAAGTTTACAATCAGTGTATCAGTGTACTGTACTCCATGGAGAGGCTGTAGGGGAAAATGTTTCTTCCTTCAACTTTTGGTGGCTTTGGCATTCCCTTGGCTTTTCAAAGCTCTGTGGTCTGTCTCCAAACTCCCTCTGCCTTGTTCTCATAAAGGCACATCAGATTGCTTTTAGGTTGAATAGGATAATCAGATTTAAACCCATTCCTGTAATAATAATCTCTAATCACACCTTTGCTGTATAAGGTGTCATTCACTGTGAACCTATTTTTGCTCAGCTCTTTCACCTTGTAAATAAGTCTCACCTTAACTTCAACCCCAACTGCCCTATATATCTGGTCTGTGTTGAAGTCTGTCCTTCACACAGCTCAAGTTCCATTTCTTACGTCATCCCAGTTACCTCAGTCCTTGTGTTGATTCCCCTGATATTTTAATGCCAATTGCATGTTTATGACTAATCTTCTATCCCTCTAATTTTTTTTAATCTTTTATTTTATTTATTTGAAAGGCAATGACAGAGAGAGGTTTAGATTGAAAGAGAGCATCTGTCTGCTGATTTAGTCCCAAATAGCTGCAACAGCTGGGATTGGGCCGGGCCTACCCAGGAGCCTAGAACTCCATCCAGGTTTCCCACAAGAGTGACGGGAAACCAAGCACTTGGGCTGTCTTCCATTGCTTTTTGAGGTGCATTGGCAGGGAGCTGAATCTGAAGTAAAGGAGCAGAGATTTGAAGCAGCACTCCAATTCGGGATGCTGGCATTGCAGCTTAATCTGCTGTGCCTCAATGCTGGCCCCAACCCTCTAACTAAATTGTAAAGCATTTGATGACTAAAAATATTTTTTATTTCTTTCTTCATTTCCTTTCCCTAGAATAGTACTTCTGGTATAATAAAAAACTATTTGGATTTTGGATTTTATCTCTGGTTCTTAGCACTATACTCCTACAACCCTTGAAATATCTTGAGTAACAGAAATGTAGTTGTTTTTCATACTAAGTCCTTTTGGAACAAAGGGTATTCTAGACAGACTGGAAATTAAGTTTTTTTTTTTTTTAAAGATTTATTTTTATTTATTTGAAAGAGTTACAGAGAGAGGTAGAGACAGAGAGAGAGGTTTTCTATCTGCTGGTTCACTCCCCAGCTGGCTGCAACGGCTGGAGCTTCGCCGATCCGAAGCCAGGAGCCAGGAGCTTCTTCTGGGTCTCCCACGTGGCTGCAGGGGCCCAAGCACTAGGGCCATCTTCTACCGCTTCCAGGCCATAGAAGAGAGCTGGACTGGAAGAGGAGCAGCCGGGACTAGAACCAGCACCTATATGGGATGCCAGTGCTGCAAGCCAGGGCTTTAACCCACTGTGCCACAGCACCGGCCCTGGAAATTAGGTTATAAAAATGTGAGGTTCACTGTTGTGTTAGTAATGCATTGATTTTTTTTCCTAAGATTTATTTTATTTATTTGAAAGACAGAGTTACAGAGAGAAGTAGAGACAGAGAGAGAAGTCTTCCACCCGCTGGTTCACTCCCCAGATGGCCGCAATGGCTGGAACTTCACCGACCTGAAGCCAGGAGCCAGGAGCTTCTTCTGAGTCTCCCACTTGGGTGCAGAAGCCCAAGCACTTGGGCCATCTTGCACTGTTATCCCAGGCCATAGCAGAGAGCTGGATCGGAAGAGGAGTAGCTAGGACTAGAACCGGCGCCGTTATGGAATGCCTGCCCTTCAGGTCAGGGTGTTTACCCGCTGTGCCACAGCGCCAACCCCAGGTAATGCATTGATTTGCTGGGAGGGTGGCTCACCTGGAGAGGGGGTGGAAGCTCTGTGCTTTGTCTTGCTCTCTGCCTCGCTATGTGCATCACTTCCATTTCACCGTTGCTGAGTTGCATCTTCTGTAATCATCACAGAGTGTTTCTCTGGTTCCGTGTGCCGTTCTAGCATGTTGTTCAAGCTGGTGGAGGGATTGTGAGAGCCCCAAGTTAGCAGTCAGCCAGGAAATGTGCATAGCCTGGGCACTCCTTTTGCAGTTGCCATCTGAAGTACAGCTAAGCTTGTAGGACTTGTAGGAGGGATAATGTCAGAATTGAATTCAGTTATTTGACACCCAGTTGGAGTCTGAGAATTAGAGAATAGGTTATTGGCTTGGAAAACCCCTACACATTTGGTGTGGGGAAAAAAAAAGGCACTGGTGCCCTATGCGTTTTAGGTGGTTATGTGTAAGTTGACAAAATGTCAGTCTGAACAGATGCAAGTTGTATTCTGAAAGATTGGCAGGAATTGGGATTCCTTTTTTTCCCAGTGCACTGCCAAGAAGGAATCCTAATTGCCAATTTGGCATAGGCACTGCTTTTCAGCTTTGTGTAACAGCATGGCTTATGCTGATTATCCAAATTCTGTTAAGTTCTGAATACCCATGTAATAAGTTATTTTTTAAAATATTTTATTTATTTATTTGAGAAGTAGAGTTATAGACAGTGAGAGGGAGAGGAGACAGAGAGAAAGGTTTTTGTTCTGCTGGTTCACTCCCAAATGGCTGCAACGGCCAGTGCTGCACCGATCCGAAGCCAGGAGCCAGGAGCTTCTGGGTCTCCCACACGGGTGCAGGGACCCAAGCAATTGGGCCATCTTCCACTGCTTTCCCAGGCCATGGCAGACAGCTGGATTAAAAGAGGAGCAGGCAGGATTCGAACTGGCACCCTTATGTGATGCTGGAGCTGCAGAGTAATAACCTAATGTGCCATAGCACTAGCCCTTGTAATAAGTTACTGATAAGAGTATGATTGTAACTACTCTTAATGATCAGCAGTAATACGAACATGGTAGGGCCTTATTTAAAAATGAGTACTGACACCAAAGGCTTCCACTACTTTCTCTTAGGTCTGTAAAATAAGTTGATCAAGGACATGTTTACAAACTTCTTGATTTGTTCTCAGATTATTATATTTTTAATTCTTCAGCTAAGAATTGTGATACTTTGTTTTCTATTTGTTCTTATACCCCTCTGTAGTGGTCAAACATCCTTGCTATATGAGAAGTCTTCAAAAAGTTCACGAAAATGCATATTTTAAAAAAATCTATGCAGTGAATCAAAAATTTTTTAGCACCAAAATAAACTTACCTTTTAATTCCATTTTCCCATTTTAATGACCCTGTACCTTATGGAAAATGAGAGTAACATGGGGGTAGGGAGGAATGGAAGTTCCTTTAAATAGTGGCTTTGGGGCTGTACTAGGTAGCCCTAAGAGGTTGTAGGCTGAAGACCTATGGGATATTTTGTTTGGACTACCCAGAGTTTAAAACTGCTTTCCACCAACATGGCAACTCATTTTTCAGAGCTGAATTGCATCCCCTCCTTAGATGGGGTATATGCTCTTCAGTTTTCCTCTGCTCCCAACCATGTTTGATTTCTGCGTAGTTGTTTACACACAGCTTTCTTATCTTGGCTGTCACTTAGGTCCTTTTCTTCTTTCATATTTTGCAAATATGTATTTAGTGCCTGCTGTGTGTGAGGAGTTCTAGCACGGGGAGTTTTGTAATGCACAAAGACAACTATCCCTACCTTCTTGGAGCATATAGTCTACTGAAGGGAGCAAGTAGTGAGCCAAGTGAGTAAACTGGAGAGTACATTAAACTGTGACATCTTACTGTTTACTGTAAGCTTACTGTTACTGTAGCTCAGTGACTTTAAAATGGGGAGCCTTTTTTCTCCCCAGGAAACATTTGGAAATGTCTGGAGAAATTTTTGGTGCTTAAAACTCAGGCTGGTTGACTGCTATTGGCCTTCAGTATGTTGTAAGTGTGCAGGACAGACCTCCATACCCCTCCCAACAAAGTGTTATCTGGCCCAGAAGTCCGTGGTGCAAAAGTTGAGAAACCCTGAGCATATTTTGGATAATCACTGCTGGATTTCTTTGTTTGCTAAACTCATGTTTCCTTGTTTGTCCTTGACTTTCACGAAGTAAAATTATATTGACTTATGAGAACATACATTTCACTTCAGCCTCTTTTAGATTTTAATTGAGACAAGAGGGAAGATGTTCTTTTATTCAGTCTCAAGTGTAGAATTCACTTAATGTTCTCAGAAGTAAATTTGGAACAAAGAACATTTTACCCTTGATGAATATAATAGCATGATTGAGCCTGAGGCTCTTATTATCTTCACTGGGGACTTGAGTATACCTTGTACTAAGTTTCAAGATGAACTTGGGTAGTAAATAGGAGGTCTTAGTTCTGTTTTTCAGATTGTGACTTTAGAAAATTCTCAGATACTCTTTTATCTGAATTAACTCTTAGCAACAACAAAAAAATTGGCTTATACCTGCTGCTCTTCAAACTGCAGGCAGAGTTTTTAAAATGGTCATTAAGCTTAGCCTTTTAAAATATTTGTAGGTAGAAAACACCTGAATAATGAGAGAAAAAGGAAATCCAGATGTTAGTCCCAGTGTATTTCCTGCTTTGGACTTGAGCTCTGACATTCTCGCCTCGCTGTCAAGGACTTGCATGTGTATTGTGTAACAGGCACTCTGGGGACTTGGTTCACACCTACCCTTCTTTCACCAAGTAAACACAGATGGTGAAGCTAAACGGATTTGGGTTTCCAGGTCAATGAAAGGCTTTTGTCAGTAATGATATTTGAACTTTAGTGATAAAAGTTGATCCTACATGTCTTTTGAAGCAGTGCTTTTAAAAAGTTTTGGTTTGTTTTTATTCTTTAGAATGCTAACAGTAAACTATAGCTATAAGCAGATTTATAGTATTTTTTAAAAAATTTTTATTTAGGTGCCGGCGCTGTAGCATAGCAGGTAAAGTTGCCGCCTGCAGTGCCAGCATCTCATATGGGTGCTGATTCAAGTCTCAGCTGCTCCTCTTCTGATCCAATTCTCTGCTATGGCCTGAGAAAGCAGTAGAAGAGGGCCCAAGGACCTGCACCCACATGGAAGACCTGGAAGAAGCTCCTGGCTCCCACCTTGGGCTTGACCCAGCTCCTGCCATTGCAGCCATCTGGGGAGTGAACCAGTGGATGGAAGACTTCCCTCTCTCTCTCTGCCCCTGCTTCTCTGAAACTCTGCCTGCAAATAAATAAATAAATCTTTAAAAAAAAAAAAAGAAGTGGCATAGTTGAGACTTGAACTGGAGCCCACATGGGATGCAGGCGGAGGCTTCACCTGCTACACCACAATGCCAGCCTCAATAACTTCCTTTTCTTGAATGTGTTTTCCCTACTGACTCTTCACAAGGCTTCTCACATGTAAAATCTCATAAAAATGTCAATTTTGTATTCATTTCATTTTTACCTTTAGATTGCTTCATGTTATGCTTTAATTCATTGTTATTCCAACAATTGGCCAGGAGAGGGCACATAGGAACTTTTGATTTAATGTACAGTACTTTAAATTAATTACCCCATTTGGAATACTGTTTTAATTTTGTTTGATTACAGTAGTTGAGTATTTGCTTAATAATTCAGTTTATAACTGTCTAAGTTCTGAAAAGTATTATAGTTATTCAGAAAGCTTGTTATTAATTCATAATATATTTGATTTATTAAGCTGCATATTTAATTTACCAAATATGTACTAAGGTCTTAAGGAGTACAAGACACTGCTAATGGGAAGATGCAGAAGATATGGGACTCCCCCAGGTGAATCTTTCAGGTTGGCTGGAGCAGCAGAGGTCTCATTGAGGATGGATTGAAATTGAAGCTGAGGGGTTTGTGTTTCTGTACGTTGTCAGTGAGGAGACTAGAGATGGAGTTGAGCTTCGGAGAGACCCCAGAGATGACATGGGCAAGTTTCTCTTTTCACAAGGAAACCCAGGTCCAAAGACAGTTACAACACAGAAATACAAATGCTCAGAATTATAAACTAGAGAAGAAAGCTTGAAATTGTGTAATATATCATTTTCAGTTCACAGGACTTAGTTTTGGTGGGAACAGTGAGACAGCTGTTCAGAGGGGCTAATTTAAAAATATATTAGCCCTCAGTGTTTATCACCTGATAGAGACTGTAGGCTGTGTAATATTAATAGTTAATCTAAGAATGGAATGAGGTAGTTGTTATTCTCATTCTATAAATAATTACACCTGACATTATTGAGCCCCCTTAAGTGTCAGGTTAAGTATTTTACTTGCAATATCTCATTTGAGCTCCTGAAAGTTATGAGGTAATTATTATTACTCTATTTATTGATGAGAAAGCTGAGATCTAGAAAGTTATATGATTTCCCTAGAAAATTAGTTAGGATTTAGAGCCAGGTCTGCTTTACTCCAGAACCTCTGCCCTCACCCTTGGCGTAGAGTTTCATTAGGAAGTGCTGGCCACTAACATCATATATCCTATTTTTGTGCTTTTCAGTTAAAACATTGGAAGCTAAATGGGGATGCTGATGATCAGCTTATTAAGTATTATGGTGGCACTGATCTTGATAATTGGATACGAGTGGTGAACTAGAGAGATGACACGCTAAGTGGGGCTGGTGTTGTGCAGCAGATTAAGCTGCTGGTTGCAATGCTGCATCCCGTATGAGCACCTGTTCGAGTCCCAGCTGCTCTGCTTCTGATTCTGCTCCCTGCTAATGCTCCTTGGAAAGCACTGGAAGGTGGCCCAAGTGTTTAAGCCCTTGTCACCCAAGGGAGACCAGGATGGACTTCCTGACTCTTGGCTTCCTCTTGGCCCAGCCCTGGCTATTGCAGGCATTTGTGGAGTGAACCAGCATTTGGACAACCTCTCTCTTTCAAATAAATCTTTTTAGAAAACTATGTAGTAGGAAG